GAATTGTAATTTCACCAATTGTTTGACATTGTTTTCTTGAAAAATGTTTGCGATAATATTTTGTGAGCTTCAATTAGAATTGTCTTTGTATGTGGATGAAATAATATCATTGATGTATCATGAACATTAAACTGAAAATTTAATGTAAATATTCAAAAAGTGAATATTTTCCACCCTTGAAGTGTTGAGTGGTGTTCAATTGACAAAGCTATTTGAATATGGATATGCTTACATCTTCGCGGTATGCATAGAACACATTCCGTTTCAACTGTAGCTTACTTACATGCTCCTAAACGATATGACTCATAACTTTGCGTTGAATTCAGGCTTACGTACCATGGTTGCGTTGGTTTGGTCATGAACAATTGCAATAGCTACAGTGTTAGTCAATGCAAGAATATACGGAATCGTATTTACTTCACATCACTGAATAAAGTAAAAACGCTGGCATTGGAACAAATCTACGCATTCCCTAAGAAAATCTTAAGCGAATCTCATACGAAACGATAGCCGTACTTGATAACGCATTCCATGGAGATAGAGACAGCTTCGAAAATAAGTACCTAAAATTTGGGATGCATAAAACAGATAGAAATTCTGTCACTGTCGCATTTTGCACCAACACAATCTATATCTATGGGTGACATTGAGAGTGTTGTATGTTTCACAGACCTTATATTGGAAAAAGTATTTGTATTTGTATTTGTGTGAGTAAGATAGAGTAGGTGTTCAAGCAGTGAGCAAATCTTCTAATAATTCATTCATTTCAACTGATTAACGATAATTGTCTTTTGCAAAGTTGTACAGTTTGACAAGACCAACAATCAAGTGTCTCCAAATTTGTACACATATTGCCTAGAAAATGAAATGGGGTGAAGTTGGTGCTCTATATAAATGAAGATCATGCAATTATCCCTTTACTTGCATAAATCTTTAGTAGATTATAACCAAGAAAAAGAATTCTTTCTGCATTGACGTCTGACGCTGTATCAAGAAAAATTGAACCGCGTAGACTCTATACTCTAGAGTGAACCAAATTCTTCTTTCATCTGAAAGTGAACAAGAGCAACCAACACTGTTCGAACCAGATTGAAATTTAGATTATTTTTTATCATTTATTCTGTACTAGCGGGAAAGTCGCTTCGCGACTCTCCGAAATTGAATGTTAGTCTGTCTGTAGTGAATTTAATTTAAATCTTTATGGAATTTGGAATATATAAATTTACTATCCCTGCGTATTCTGAAAATATACAGTACGATCTCGATTATCCGTCCCTCTATTAACCATCACCTCTTGTAACGTGTAAGCATCATCGTTTCAGTTCAATCCACTTTGCTATATCAGCGAAGCGAGATAAAAAAAATAAACAATTCTCTTTTCTTCTATTTTTAATAATCTTGCGGAATAAAAAGAATTATATTCGTAGTCCCGAACTTTTCCGTACCATTGTCCGCACTTTTGGTTATTTTTTGTGAATTTTCTTGAGTGAAGGCAGTTTTCTAGTGAAAAATCAGCCACTCCAGTTAAAACTTCGATAGTTTTGTATGAGAGGTACCCGTAAATCGACTCCGATTAGCTCAAAACTTTCTGAGGTTTCATTTTTTGTCGAAAAAATGAGATTCTAAAAGTTTCATGTTGATCGCATTTGCAGAAGTTTGGTTTTTGACCCTCAATTTTTTCCAAGAAAATTTCGACCAGGGGAAATACAAGGATGAGGAGTTTTTACAATTAAAGTAAGTTAACATCAATGGGAAAAATCAAATGAAAAATCACAAACTAAAATCTAGATTGGATAAGAAATTTCATAACAATGGTCCGAGAATTCGCGATTTGAAAAATTTGAAAAATGTCAGAAAATTTAGATAGGTGAAACATTATGCAAAATCAAAAACCGGTTTTCGGTATTTGTTTTTTTGTTTACCATTTCTCGTGTCAGCGAGAAAGAAATATGTTAATAAATGTGTTTATCAATCAGTTGCATTTTTGTTCTTAAATTGAAACCAAATATTCAAAGATTTTTGCTTCGATTTCAGTCAAATTTTTACTGAAAGATTTATATTAATCGGTCGATCTTATTCAATAAACCGATTGAAAAAACAAAGTCAAGTCGTTGGAAATATCACGCTTATTTCTATGCTCATCTTTGCTGAACATTTGTGAATCAACGACTTTGATAATAATTTGACTGAATGTAATCAGATAGTTTTTTGTAAAAGTATGGGCATATTTTTCACAATTTTTGAATTTAAACTTTAAAATCAGCGCGATGTTATCGTTTTAGAAATTTATTTGCACAACTCATTGAAGAAGGAAGCTTTGCTTTCGAAATGCGTGTTTGAATAATAAACTCCAAAAGTGTGTAAAAGTTCTCTAAACATTTTATTAACAATTTATTTTCATAATTTGTAAAAAAAAAATCTCATTTGAAATATTTAGTCTGTGATCATATACCCATTGGGTTAAATAAATAAATATGTCAAACTTGAGAATCCGATGCCGATGGCTCGTTCTCTTCCTTCTTCTTCAAGTGATTTCAGTTTCTTTCATCTTTGGTCCTCAATATAGTTAACATCGTTGCTCATTCCGTCATCGTCAAAGTCAGGGACAGCATGAATGCCTTGCTTCAATTTTCTTTTTATATATGATTCATTTGATTCCTCTTGATTTTTTTGGTGACATTTGCTTATCCATTGTGGGGACGACAATTTTGGTTTATTCTCTGTAACTTTCTTTTTCAAATAGTCAAATTCGAAAAATCTATTTCCTCTAAAGAAATATATCTTTCCTGTTGAATAAAAAAACGAATGTTTTTGTTGAATAAATTGGTGAATTTAAATCTAATGATTACTTTTGTTCTAAATAAATCGAATGACTGTAAAAGGCCGTCAACATCTGACGTTCTGAAAAGAAAAAATATGACTACGTAGTACGTACCATTAAAATGTTGGAAAGCCCCATCAATGCGATTGCCAATACCACGCCATTTATCTCTTATCTCATTTCGATTTGCTGGTTTTATACGCCATTGAGTTTCATCGAAACTGAAATAATTGAAACAAAGAAGATTCAAGTTAAATACAAATGATTTTGAATGAAAATTACTTATACAATATACATACTTCCAAAATTGTGTTCCGCCAAAGATGTAAATTTCTATAGCACTGTTGACTTTTAATCTCAATACGGCGTCGATTTTCTTTACACTAACTGGAAATCCCATTTGCGACAAGTTGGAAGTATGAGTCAACTGGTTGTTTGAATTATAATGGTAACACGTTTCGCCTTTGTGGTGGAAAATACGATTTTTGTTAGTGCATTCCATCATCATAGAATGTGTATAACATATTTACCTATAAAAATTGTAATACCACTGGATTTTGTGCCAAAGTTTCTTTCGTACACGGCATCTACACTTGTCAAATTGGCTGGTAACCCATTGAACATTCCATCGATCTTGGGTGCACCTTGGTCTATCACTTTTCCGTTGTCATTTACACGCCAAAAATACTGTTGAAATATTTATTGTTAGGTAAATATGATGCTGATCAGAGATGACGTTTTGGGTTGTTTTCTCTCGCGAATGGGGATCGGAGCAAATCTAAGAGAGCATGATGTCAAAAAAGACAGATTCCATACAATTGTTTTAGTTCGATTCCCATTCGCGAGAGAAAACAACCGAAAACGGCGTCTTCGATGCTGATTTCAAGTGTGATGAAGTACATTGCTATGTTATGCAATGATAAAATTACAATTTTCTTTTTATGAATAAGAATAAACATGTATAAAAGGTCGTTTTATAATACAACCATAAGCAAAATATAAACATACGTAAATGGAATAAATAATATTAAAGTGAAGCTCACTTGATCTTTGAAAATGAAAATTTCTCCTCGAAATATCATGATGGAATCATATTTGATATCGCAAACATCAAGTGTTTTTTCCGGTGTTCCATAGTCGACTGTTTCTTTTGGGCATTTTGGCTGTGGAGTTTTCTTCATTGCACAACCATACAACCATTGAATATTTTCAACATCATATTTATAAAGCTGCTCCAGTCGACAAGGATGGGAGTAAGCAGCAAACATAACCGAGTCTATGACTTTTGTATCGGGTAATCCTATCGAATGACCAATCTATTTTTTAGGGAGAAATAAACATTGTTTCTTTGAGAAATCTCAAAAGGCGACTTCTGTTATCGGGCTTAAAATAAGTTGTGATAGCGATATTTTTTGTTCTCAAAGAGAAAGATTTAAAATTGTTTGACTTCATTCATTCATCAATTCACTGCATTTTTTCAGAATTATGTACCTCATGCACGGCAACCGTTTTGAGATTCTTCATCCCATCTTTGATTTTATAATGTCCGTTGTAAATTGTAAAGTCCCATTTCTCATCTACGTCAAAGTGTATATCACCACCTCTTCCGTAACCGGGATAAAATGCATGCGCCACCACATTTGTGTAGCTTTGCCCATCCACATTCGTTCCACTTCCATCGAAGTTATATCCATCACCATGGTTGCCTCTAGAAATATTTCGAAAATGGTCAATTTTCTCGATTAAATAAAAGTTCAATCTGCCACGTTTCATTGACACAGGTCAGTTCAGTTGGATCACATATTTTTTTAGTATTTTGGAACTGAATTCTGGTAAACATTTTAACTATACCATCAATTTCAACTATACGTTCATTGTGTTAAAATGATTCAACTTACCTTTCAAACTTGATCTCTATGTCAGCATCAATAAGATTATTCACATGACGAAATGTTAAGCATGTATATGTTTCCCATACTTTGAAAGCGGCACTAAAAATTTGCATTACATTCTCAACATTCACATCTTTCGTTCGGACAAATTCAAATCCCGTTTCGTTGAAACTGATAATTGTTTGAATAAAAAGATCGTCATTGAAAAATTATTGATTACAATTTCGCTTAAAGTTGTGTTTGCTTAATTTTTACCTCCATTTAATATGTGTTGTAGACCATTTTGCTGCTCGTCGTGATCGATGGGGTGTGTAAGTGTTTGAGATTCCAAGATTTGGTGAACCAAGCTCCAAATCCCACATTTTTGAAGATAAAGGTTTAGTTGAGCATTTTTCGAATCGAATTAATAGAACACAGATAATCAATAAACACTGTAACAAACTGGGAAAATAAAATTTTCGTTCTACTAACATCACGACTTTATTTTATCAAATGATTTTTTATTACTAATAATTGACTTTTTTTCGTTCTAATGGTTCACAGATGGATAAATATTGTGTGAAATCTGATTGGAATGAATACAAACACAAATAGATTTATATCAATGGCTATTGGCAAAATGATCTCAAGCAAGTTCATTGATCAACCACAATGATGGTGTTCAACAAAGCAATTAATAAACGAATAAATATGATTTACTGTAGCGTTGAATACACATAATCATACTTTCACGTCACAACAATTTACTTTATCTTAAATATGAATAAGACTTTCTCTTTTCATGACTCAAACCATATTGTAAAGTCCAAGTTGTAGCTTTATTCATAATTTCTTGATATCTCGAATGACAAGTCATTCATTTCCCATGAAAAATACGTAATTATACAATCAACTAGAATTAAATAACTTCGTATATAATCGTTGTCGCTATGAATCATTGACAGAGGTTAAGGAAACTACCAAACGAAGTAATCTATGTCACACAAGGTTCAATCACAATGTCAAAATATTGAAAATGACCCTTATCAGCTAGTATGACAGTATTTCGTACTTCGACAGTAAAATAATCATATTTACACGCTGATACTGTGAAAGAGGTTCGTTTGTTCTCCGGGAAACGTGTGCGTGTGTGATATATTTTTTTTACCAAATAAATATAATCAATAATCAATTTATTTTGTTTCTTGACTTTACTCCGCTGTTCTTCCGCCTTCACATACACCAACCCAAAATGGAAATTCGCAAACGTGCAGCAATTTTTTAAGCATAATTTTCCCATTTGTCACTCTGCAACCACCAAACGAAATACTTACCGTAGTTGTTTAGTCTGTGACACGTGCATTCGCGAGTTGATCGTATTGGATGTGCCACTTCAGGTAAGACAATTTAACATCAAACCAGTGACAACACACACACATCCACACCAAACAACACATTTATTCTGGCTTCATCAGCCAAATTACGCTTGATTGATTTGGCAGACGCTACTTCATTTTGATGAAAAACCCTTACACATACATACTGATTCATCTAATCAACTAATCTGGTTTTCGTTTTCGTTTTCGGTCTATCGAAATTAGCGACGATTTCCTGTAGATAACTTAGCCGAATGGAACGGCGGTCAACCGTTGGGCCTTCGAACTTCTCATGCATATGTGCTCGTCTTTGATATGGCGAATTTGGCAACGTTTCAGGTAAGCTATCGATTGATTTTTCTCTTTTACATTCCGTTCTTATTCTTTTTCTGATTATTTCTTTCGCTTCTTCTTATGCTTTGTTGTTAGTTTTTGTAATGTCAAAAAAAATGTCAAAACATGAAATCCGTTTCAAATCAAAACATTTCGAACGTTGTTGTTACGATTTTTTTTACAAAAGCAACATCTTCTGATTGGCTTCGGCAAATGGAATCGATTTACATCGGAAATGATGAGCAATAATCAAAGCCATAATAAAGAGATTGAAATTGTCGTTTTAAAACTTTTATTTGATGGTCATTTCTCCCGACGAATTCGATACCAAAATACAATCATTGGATATATCTCCGTTCCGTGGCACGAACAAATGGAATGCGACAGTTGCAAAGGGAAGAAAAACACCATCCGAAATGTTTCATGAGCTATTATTGCTGATGACTTTATGTTTTCCAATCCACTTGGCATTTAGTTGATCATTATTGTGCTGATGGAATTGTTATTTTCATCCACGGTATTTTCATTTCGTTGTAATGGTAAATATTTACTGGTGGCAGTGCTGGTAGTGGTTGCCAAACGAGCAAACAAAATGTTATTTTCCATTGACTAGCTTCCCACATACATATTCTGTGCACTCTTTGTTGCTTTCTCTCTCTCTCTCTCTCTCTTTCATTTTTTTCTCTCTCTTTCTTTTTTTTCTGTGTGTATCTTCGTCATCAATTGCTCTAGTGGTTTTGTCGAAGATTGCGAAAAATCACTGGAAAATCACATACGTTTTGTGTTTGTCTTGCTTGTCGATGCTGAAAAGCCATATTATTAAAATTGACAGATGCTTCTAGTTTGCTTTATCAAGACGCCAATTCGTCTCCAACTAAGAATCGTAGCATAAAGTAACTGCACCTGATGGCGTTACACGCAAAAACATTCCGCTCCATTTATCTCTGTTTTTCTTCCATTTCTCTGACTCGTTTTCAATGCAAATGCAAGTCGATATTGTGATTTATGTTCTTTTGTTATGTAAAATTTGCTCATTGAGAATTCATCGTTGCGCTACGAGCCGCATTTTCATTTTCCATTTTTTTTTCCTTTCTTTGTTCGCACTGATTTTGCCAAGTTGAAATATTGGTTGCGAGTCGCAACTTGTGACTGCGAGGCAAAGCACCGAAATTTTTCGACAGCCATTTTCGCCGATAATGGTATTCAGAGAGTGGAAAAAGGAATTGAAGAAAAGAAAAACTCTTCTTTTTTTTCCATAGTCACTGAATGCAATTCTTTGATGCAGAAAAAAGGAAATTCATCGACAATGCCACCATTTAACTCACACAAAATAGCGGAACAAAAGAGAAATTAAGAAATGTTCCTTCTCGAATTTTTAATATCCTTTTTTCCCCCACAAACTCATCGCAATTCTTCCATCCTTCGAATACAAATGGAAAAATGATGGTTGGTTGTTGGTTATACAGTACCAAATGCAATGATACATTTCATTCATTGTGATTCTTCGTCGCTCTTTCCCACTATATTTCTTCTTTTCGATTCACTGCGCCGAATGGTACAACCAACTTGGCGAACGTCAAGCCAAGAACACTTTTGCTCGCATTGTGCTTATTTCGTCCACACGAAGCACACACATAGCGAAGGCGAAATTTGTTGATAAAAATAGTCGAATCGGAAAAAAAAGATAAAATAAAAATGTCTACTCGACCGTGTGCACGTAAGGAACACAAGAGTTGAGTCGAAAGATAGAGACGGAGAGAGTCACCATATTACCAAATAGCAAACAGAGCGAGTGTAGTCTAGAATATCTAAACGATGGAAATGACGGAAATGGAAATGGTGTAGTAGATGCCATTGTGTACGATTATGAGCTTTTTATGCTGTTCCAAAGAGCAAAACATGACGACGACGACGATGACGACGAAGCAAAAAAAAGAGGAGAGAAGTATAGTTCTTAAGTTTAAGCACAATACACGAGAATTACACGAAAAACCAATAAAGAATATGTGTGTTTGTGTGTGTGCTGTGGATTCTACGCATGGATGATGTAACACTTCGAAATATTCAGACACAATACACATTGTGCACATCAAATCAGAGTAAATGAAGTGCAGAGCCAGCATTCACAACAAATCATTCGTTTTTTCGCTTTCTTGCGTGAATGTGGAAATCGGGCGAATGTTCATCAAAAGACCTAACACAGACGAAAAAAAATCGTCACAAGCATTCCATTTGGTCGTCAATAACGCGCGCACATTTCGACGCGCATAAATTTAATGCTGAAATTGTTAGCCATTTTTTGTATGAAACAAATCTCTCAATTTTGTCACCAGGGAATTTCCTCGAACTTCGTCGAACACATCACCACTTTTCATTCATGTATCAAAACTTTAACTCCGCAGAAGAAAAAAAATTAATCAATGCTATTGTGCTAATAAAACACCTGGTACCCAAGGCGAACAAAACACTCGCACAGTCAAACACTGCCAAAATTTTCCGATTGTCAATTCATTCGTTATTTTTTGCCATTTCTCTTACCACGAAATATATGTAGACTAAATCGAAATGGCATTTTGGAAACGATGGCCGACAAATGGTAAATGTGGAAAAAAGTCATCAGAAAAATATGTTGTTAGCGTACGATTTTCATCTTTATTTCTGACTCAAACTTTTTCCAAATGCTTTTTTTCCATCTCTTTTGCCCACCATTTTTACACAAGTTTATTTCCAACTTGGTGCCATTCTCTTGTTGCCTTCTTTTGTAATGTATTCTAATATGTCACCCTCTCACTCATTTTCATTCGTTTCTTTTTTCTCTTTCTTCTCTTTCTCTTTTGCAGTATTGCCGTACGATGCGAGATCAGATTTTGGAGAGCTTTAACCATCGTGATTTCAGTTTAATGGTTGTTGGCAATAAATACGATCTGGTGGAAACGGAAAAAAGTCGACAATCTCAGGTTCGTATACACTTTACATACACATGTACGAAAATGCACATAGAACAACATAAAAACAAATATATTTTTTTCTAGTATTATTATACGATTGTCTTCCAGCGCGCGCGCGCACGCTCATACTTCCTATGTTCATCTCTTTCACTCTCTTTCTCCCTCTCTCTGTGTGTCGATGCTATTTGATATTTTGTATCAGTTTGCGGACATTTGGAGCATGTATTATTATAGTTCACTGCGTTCAAGCAAAATTGGCGCCAATTGAACGGTCTTTTTTGCTTGTTCGGGTGTCTACAGCTCTTCCTTTCTTTTTCTCTCTCTCTCTCTCTCTCTCTCTTGCTAGCAAATCATTCGATTTGTAGCAACGACCAACACACACACACACAGATTTATCTAGAAAATTGATTTTTTTTCCACTCGCCCCCATCCTCTTTTCCAATTTTCTCCCTCTCTCTTTCTCTACGATGTTCTTTTTGCCACCCATCTTCATCGGTTTTGTGTCCATGCCAACGGCACTTTGTAAAAACACAAAATTTTGCGCTGCTTTTTGTTGGGTTGATTGCAATTTGTTTTTGTTGTGTTGGATTTTGTGGCCAATTTTTCTTGTTTACAGTTCGACCCTTTGATACAATTAAAAGAAACTGGTTCAATATTTACTCGTCGATAAATGATGTTTGAATTGTCACAATGTTCCGTCTAATTTTCGGAATAGGGTACACTTTTTCTTGTTCTGACTTTGTGAGCTAAGAATATGTGGTGGCGATGGAGATTCTCTTCGTCATTGACAGTGAATTCACAAATCTGAAATCTTTGGAGGGATTGTTAGCAAACAGTTTGGCATGTGGGAATAAAACAAATAGCAACAAATACGAGAAGTGTAAGTTACGCTGCGTAACACAGACAAATCGATTGAAATCGAAACTCAAACGTACCAAAACAAAGGCAAAAAAATGGTTCACAAATACTTTCGCCATTCGCATTCATTCTTAAGTGATCGGAATGATGCGGTTGACATTGGCACGCGCACGATGTCTCACTTCACCCAATAAGCGACGGCGATAGCATACACACAGAGCAATGCAATTGAGATGGGAAATGGTAAAAATCAAACCTGACATAACGAAAAATATACAAGTGCGTTTTTTCCACACACAAGTCTTATGCATGTTTTAAATGACTGGGAATTCGAAACTCAAAGCACCGGGCTCATATCGTTTGTTTGTGCATTCACAGAGTTTGAATTGTATTCACCTCGAATGAAAAATTACACGTATCGATATTCCTTCTTTTTGGGTTGTTATCACGTTTTTGTCAATCGAATGGGAATGTTGGAGTACATTTAAGTACGGAATATGTATGTGACAGCGTTGACATGCCAGATATTCTCTATATATATCGATAGTATCCAATCAAAATAAAGCCAAATTTAGTGAAGATACATGTTTTTGTGGGTTTGGTTTGATGCTCCCGGAACACAAGCGGATTTTATTTGATAAAAAAACATCGAGTGAAACAAAAGCCGATTGCGAATGTGGAAAGTGTCGTCATTCGTTGGTTGTTTCCTGTTCATTCATTGAAAATCAATTTACGGGAAATTCACAGCTCATTTCGAATCATCGTAAATGAAATGTTGACGACACAAAATTTGTGCTTTGAAGCGCCTTTCGTGGTTTCAAGTGGAGTGCCTGAAGTGGACGCCAGTCGTACAAACTTTTCTTCATGGGTGGGAATGCTCAAGTAACCACATAAAATATTCATTTTATGTACTGTCACGACAACGACGTCGATCGTTCGTTGTCATTATGCAAGGAATTCCCGCAAACGGACTCCTTGTGTCACTGGAGCATAAATAATAAAAATCTAAATATAAATTTCGCATATTTCGCGTATTTTTATTCCACACCATCTTAATGGTGTTTATTTGTTTAAACGATTGTATTCGGCCTGGCACTTCGGTGGCCATCAAATATCATAAACGGATGGGAGAAAAATGTGGCTGTTACTGTCGACAATAAATGCCATGAACTGTGAAATCATTTGGATGCGCTTCTCCAGATAGTTTATGCAGAAGAAAAGTCTTCATAGCTCAAGTGAGAGAGCGAGAGCGAGAACGAAAGCATGAGAGTGAAAGGGAAGCTCTCGAGAATTTTTGCTTCAATTCCCAAATTCAATGTCACGTATAAATATCACATTACTAGTGGCAAGTTTATTAGGTTGAAACCATTTTATGTGAAAATTACATGGCATGGATATATTTCATGATGGTTTTACGACGAAAATAAATTGTTGGGAAAATAAGTGCGTGGCGTTCAAAAGTGAAACACGAACTTTGTATCTTCATCGGATAATAAGCAACATCAAGAGTGTTTTCATTTTTATTGGATTTTTTTTGGCTACTTATACATCGATGAAAACACATCTTTCGCCATATACTTGATGAAAATTCACTTCCATTTAAATTTTAATGAGATTTCGACGTAGGAAAAAGAAAAATGAAGTTGACAGCGAAAAATCGAATTTCCAGTAGAGAATGAATGCTGTCGTTATTGAAAGGCGTTGTTTTGCTCAAGTATGTGGAGTCATTTTCGGAAGTGACTGGAATTGATATTTTGTGCTATGGTCTAGTGCGTTGTTATCCTAGACCACATATCGGAGGTGAAGCTCAATTGTGGCGTCTCTACACACCGTGTAGACAGTAGAGCCAATAGATTTTTATGGTGGTGATAACAAATATCGAACATTCACTACACGATAAAAAAGAAAATGTGTAATTAGCTTGTCGACCCATGAAAAGTACTCAAAAAGTCAATTAAATTTAATCAAATATCTATGAAAGATGGACGAATGGATCAGACGAATTGTGATGATCAAGCGTTCAAGTCAAAAATGCTAATGAACGCGTATTCAATATGTTCTGCCGCAAACCATATACGTGGTGCAACGGCGTTTATAGAGAATATATGACAGTGTTTTATGTGCATAAGAAAATGTGGTATCGTCGAGCAATGTTAGATTCATACGTCATACCGTACCCATTACGTTCCATGTTAAAGTGCCACAATTACAAGTGACATTGCTCCGACACAGGAAAAGAAGAGAGTGATGGAGCACAAGGAGAAGAATGCCATCACTGGTTTCACATTGAATAAATTATGGCATGAATCATACAAGAGGTACGCGTGTTATCTCTTACCAAAATAACACGAATTTCTATCAACTGGATATTAATGAGCACGAAAATAGATTTGATATCTTCAACCATTCAAACAAATTCGATGACGGTTTTTTTTGGGAAGTTCGATTTCGAAAAATATCGAGAATAAATTCCAAGTTGGAATTTCCAACTTCTGGAATTTAATTGATAATTGGAAACACAATTTAAATGCCTTTCATTTACACACGCTCAGTTTTACAATATAATATGGGGTTGAAATGAACTGTTTCTCGATCATAATTAAAGTTGAAAATTGAAAACAAGGAGAGAGGAACAGAGTGAGATGATGAGAGGGAAAGAAATCCAAAAATACTGTTTTGTTCGCGTGTTACTTATCCTTTGCGTTGGCTTGAATTTATCCAACTTTTTTTTTGCTTTAAAATAGGAACTCAAAGATATTTCTACACTGGTTCGGAAGCACTGGCGATGCGGATACGTGGAATGCTCTTCGAAGTAAGTAATTGAAATCTTCGATTTGATGAAAAACAGTGTTTATTGTTGGTTTCAATTAAATAAATCTGGACGGGGTTCTTGAGTTAAAAAGAACGAAAATTATTCATTGTATCCTAGTATGTGGAGGAGTTAAAAAAAGCTAACGAATCTCCTTCTAAATTATGCATTTGATTACAGATTCAACTACAAAGTGAACGAAGTATTCCGTGAGTTGATGGGTTGTACGGGCGGTATTGGTGGTTTTCATTTAGCAGGCATGAATTTTTCGCAATCGCATGACAAGGACAAATGTACGATTCTATAGCGATTGCTTTTTTCGAGTTTGAATAGTATGGTACCCACAGCAAATTCATTGGATGAAAAAACGACGAAATCGGCGACGGCGAAGGACTTAAGTAACAGTAGCAATACACCGAATCGAAGTAGAAAAGAGCGTAGCAGCAGTAAAAGTCCACAGCCAAGCCAGTCGTCATTGTCACCGCAGAAAAGTATCCGTAAAACCAATATGATAGTCACCACAAACAATAGCTCCTCCTCCAGTTTTAAATGTAATTTAAAGTGTAAAAAATCCACCGAAGAGACTTTCGTTTGAGGTTTTTCTTTCGGTTATGCGATTATTTTCCATTTCTTTAGACTCTTTGTTCTGCACTCCAACTGGGTTCTGTACTATTTGAAATGCTACATGGCGCTTTTAGGAATTTAATTAAATTGTTAGCCATGAAATTATACTTGATTGAACAAGAAACATAATTTTTAATTCCAATTGGGACGACTCAAGTCAAAAATGCCATTTCGATAATCTAATTGAATCGAAAGCTAATCGATTTTAAATTGTTTTTTGTTTCGTGTTTGAAATGGAACACGTGGCGGCGAGCTCGTTTGTGATAATATCGTTAGGCTATTACTTAGTTGCTAATAAAAATAAAACTGAAAATGCTATAAACAAATTACTTACACAACAAGAACAACAAAATACAATGTAAACGCTTACAAATTTTAATCATTTATGCGCACGTATGACGATGAACGATTTCCAAATTTCTATTAAGCTATTAGTACGTATGAAATGGCTGTTTTCTCTTTGAAGGTACTTCTATCGTAGAGCAGTTAAGACAATAATCCAACAACAGTATTCACTTAACATCGTTTTCCATTTTTCCATTTTTCCATTTTCCATTTGACAATCTGCCTGGGCTTTTTTCGACAATTTGTTCATATGGGTTCCATACAAATTTTTCGCTCAATTTTTTCAACCAAACAAAATTCGAGTTCACAGAGTTGCTTTTAGATTGTTGTTTTTTTTGCATGACGTCAGCATGATGCGTGACATGTCAGAAACAGGACACTATGAAAAGCCACATTCATTTTCCCTTTGAAAAATCAATGAATTTTGTTATTAAAAACTTAAATTAAACGTTGTCTTTTCTATACATACAAGCAACAATCTGATCGCACAAACAAAAACAAACACCACACAGACGCGCTGTGTTCTCAACTTCAATTAGCTCGTAATTGGATGAGTGGAAATAATGGCAAGGTATGTGACATACGCCAAACCGTGATGCCAAAAATAAAATGTTTCAAACGTAAAAGTTTTCCCTCACACGCTTCGTTCGTGCTAAAAATATGCGATTCGTTTCATAAAATTGGCCGTTAGGTTGGTTTGGTTTTTTTCCCAGATGATGTGACAAAAAGAATATGAGTAAAAATCAAACTGTTGCTATCGGCAAGAGAATCATAAAATCCACCGAACGAGATAAACCACACACACATACACATGGCAGTGGAGAAAATGGAGATAGAAATGTTGAACACCCTCATCCCATAACATGTAATATGATAACCGTTGTTAATATTAAATATACACGTATTTTGTGCCAAGCCATAGGCATTTCAGTAACTGTGCGAATAGTAGGTTTAGATTAAATGAAGAAACAAAAAACCGTAGATTTAAGCAACTTGATCAAAAAAAACAAAAACACTGTACTTAGATTGAATGTGTGCGGTTATAGAAATTATTTATTTTATCGAGAAAGAAAAGGAGGAGAAATTGACAAAATTTAACTCAAAATTCAATCATTTTATCATTCGGCTTATATGACAAACACACAGACTACCAATTTAGGTTATCCATGAAAATTGTCAGCGCTCGGCAAAAAACTTTCAGTTGTAGAAGACATTTGTTTTCCAGATGTTCGCATTATATGTCAATAAATGTGAGCCTATCGCGGGTAAAACCGTTAAAGAATTCATTTAAATATGGTAGACAAGTATTTGTGTACTGGTAATTAGTACTGGAACGATGGATGGTAAAAACTAATCAAACCATAGAAAACAACGCTTATGTAACGCAAAGAATATTCTCTGTGTGGATAAACATTTGATGTATGAGCATAACAGTCGAATATAATTCCCAGCCGAATGCTCTTGAATGGAAGGCATCATCATGAATAGACGATTATTTACTTTGAATTTATCAATCGTTTACTTGACTTGAGCAATTATTCTAGGCAAGTAAAGGTAAGCCAAAATCGATTGGGTTATCGTTTCAAAAAAAAAAGACTATTCAAACCATCAGTTTCATTTTCGTTTCGTAAATACCACCGAACATAGCTTCGAATCACACTCAAAATACACAAACATGGAAAATTGTCTCAGTTTGTATTGCTATTCAAACTGTTTAATATGGCTGAATGAAATCGATTTTTTGAATTTTAAATCAACGTTCGACCTTTCCATTGTGCGACATTTCTCAACTTCCATTATACTTTCTCCAATCTACTCTAATTGCTTGCCATCCATCGTACATTTTAATAATGTCTTTACGTGTCTTTTCGTTTTTTATGTTTCAAATATAAATGTTAATTCAATCAATACCTATAGGTACAAGACTTGGGTATTTTCGTTCGATTCGGAGAGCTTTGATTTGAACAAACAACAACTTAAACTATAATTGATTCCATGGTTTTTCGAATAGAATACATAAAAAAAGTTATTTCTAGATGGCTTTAAGCATCAAGCAAAAACGATTTCAAGCAATAGTAGGCCATTTTTCAGCGCTTTAATTGGCTTCTCTCTGGTATCCCAATAATTCAAAAAAAAAACAAATTCTATTTAACTTGTGCACTGTGCAGAGAAAATTAATTTATTTTTTCATCAACTGTAAATACTAAAGAGAATAAATGATTCACTTGATGGTATTTTAAGTTTGTAAATTATTGGCATATATGAATAGAATTGTAAAAAAAATTAGAATGTGGCAACTGTTGGCCAGGTGAATAGAGAAAAAAAAACAAACACACGCAGCTTTTGTTGAAGTCAAACTTTTACATGTTTCTTGCAAATAATTTGTATTTAAAAATGCAGTAATTACTAGGGGCGAGACACGAATTCTTTTAGAGTCTAGTTACATTCAATTTTATATATTTTTTGCTTTATGTCCTCTAATTTTTCTAGTTTTGGTGCAAAAGTGCTAATATTGTGCTATTATTTCTAGTAAAATCACTTGCAGAGCATATTGCAATGTGAATACAACGCTTATGAAAGACCTAACGGGACTATTTTGTAAACAATAAACAATACGTCCATAAGCGTTAACATTGGCAAACCAAACTCACTAATTTCTTCTATTTTTCCTATTATCGTTGAATAATGTTCTAATTTTACTCATTTTACTCATTTAAGTTTCGTGTCTCCCCCCTAGAGTAATTAGATAACAATTTGAGCTATTGAATAATTTTTAATGGATAAACAGTAATGGTGTATGAAATGCGACGAAAATATTGTAGTAGAAGTGTATGCACTTGTAACGTAAAGCGCAGCGCTATTGAATAAAGTAAAGAAAAAATTGTTACCGCAAAATTCGAACTATCGATATTTCGTTTTTCTTTGTTACATTTTTGATTATGTTCGTTTCTTTTGCTTTGAAAAATCGGGGATGGAATAATTTATGGTGAGTACAATGTAAATGCACTCTTTAAGCATATAATGAAGTGATGAGGACGGTAATTTTTTGTTTGTCAATTTGATTGGCACTATATATCCAATATATGTCCTTCAAAAGCATGATAGTGGCGAAGTCGATAAGCGTCCATGTGAGGTTCAACATACATCAGCGACTACGACGACAATAACAAAGTAGTACTACGTGGTTTATGATTGGCTCCGCCTTTTTGATTAAAAATAAACTCCCGCACAATAGAAGCCGCTGTTGATAACATTTCGTCGACTCATTGGATGGACATTGGACAGGCATAACAATGCCAGCAAGCAAACAAACGAACGAATAACAAAAGAAACAAGAAGAGACGCAGGCATATTTTCCACCAGGCATATGGATAATTTCAAATTATCAAGAAGTATACCATATAACGCTGAGTCGCTTTTTGAAGAGTACACAACATGTATTGTGTATGATTACTTGTGCAATGGATTGGGTTTTAAAAAAAAAACAATAAAAAATTCATTGATAGCTAACAAGTGTATCGCAGCTGTTTTAAAATTACACAGGTTCACATATTCCAAGCATATCTAATTATTAACGTTTGTATCTTGAGCTCATTCGACGGAAACCTTGAAAATGGAGCCGATGAGAAATGAACATCAACATTTCCACGTCGCTGCAATTTTCAATTTGAATTGCGCGTTCGAAATTACCAAATGAACATGGGAATATCATCGAATGTGGGTGAGATTGGGAAGTAAACCAACGTCAACGTATACACTACTTCGCGGTTGGTTGAAAAAACTCAATTAAAGCATCATATTCATCTCTTCATTTCAACTTCGTTTGGCTTTCATTGCGAAATTTCGCTCTAGCGACTCTATCACTTCAAAGCGTACTCAATTCACAAAGGCATTCCCTATTGATTTCCTCTACTTTCGGAATGGTTTCAAGTGCAACATTGTTTGTGCTCTGGGAGAATTTGATTTGCATTCGAAATGCAGCGATTCAAAGTGAATGATGAGTTGAAAGCAGACAAAACAAAGAATACCTCGGGTTTAATTAAAAAATCGCACACAACGGTTCGTTCGACAGGGATCAAGGGTGTGCAGTGCTTTATGTACAAATATAAACAACAAAGTGATATATCCATCGATTTAAGGGTGTCCGCTACCTTGACGTCATTGTACTTTTTGTTGAACCATTTTAGAACGCGTTTGTACGAAATCAGTGCGTTTCCCATCCACTGCACACCTGTTAATTTTCCGCAATTCATCGAACAATAGCAGGCGATAATGACACCTTTTTACACGTAGGCAGACGTCTATCCTTTTCACCTGCATGCATAAGCTAGTGATTAAAAATTGACGAAGCGAAAAAAGATTTTTTCTTCTATCTCAAAGTTGACTCGCACAGATTCACACGAATCGCTTTGAATCATTCGTATGATGGTGATGATGATGGCAACACGTACATGTATTAAAAAATCATGTCACATAAATCGCATCTCCACGTGTCTTTCATTGCTCGCTGAATGATTTGTTCGGGTTGTCAATCGATTATTATCAAGATGGACAAAATGTGTATAACTGCTCCATAAGGGAAAATTCGATGGGAACGCACGAACGATTGAATGACGTACATTCAAAATGCTTCGAACGGCAGGCAGGCAGGCAGGCAGGCAGCAGCAGCATCAGCAGAAGTGATGGTGAAAATTGGCAAAATTTCCAACGAAACATGAATAGCATCTCGTAACAATGTCATACTATTCGCATAATGATAGTAAAATGTCGTGTTCATTCTTTTTTCGACAAGAGAAAAAAGAAGAAATTTCCAAAACCTTTCAGTTTTCCATCGCTCCTCTTGTTCTTCTTCTTCTTCTTCGTTTTCTTCACTTGTACAACATGAATTGGCTTGAATAGCACAAAATCGATAAAACAACATTTCAAAACTTGAAGCACCCCTTCAATGTTGGAGCAGACGAACGATGTTGATAACGACATTGTACTTTCTAGTTCGGTTCTATTGATAATTCATAAATAAAAACCGGAGAGACAACAACATTGACTTTAAAACAACATACATTTACAGGTAGCAAGAGATATGGGAGAGAATTCCAACACACAACGATCACAGCCCCATAAGCGATAAAGCAACGACTCAAATACAATGATATTTTTGTGGTGGAAAGTCATCGGTGCGGTGCGTTGGCTCGATACATGGATGTTTTGTGATTGGGATAGCGTGAGAAAATCACCGTGATTGGACCACGTTTATTGGATACCATCCGAATTGTTTTCGACTTCAAACGATTGATAACCATTAAATACGACAAAGCTAACATACTCAATCCAACAAAATTTTGTTATCAATTGTCGTTTGACTCTTCAATTGAACGGCACGCCGAGATCTTTATCAAATTCTCCTCTCTTCAGTTCTTTGGGTTTTTATTTTTCAAAAAAAAAATTCCATCACAACTCCAAATTTAGTTTGGGAATTTTTTTTTCGGTTTGGTCATTGGGATATCATATCATAACAAAATTAATTAAAAAAAAAAGAATAAATTTGTTTAAAATCGGTTCGTGGAAGAAACGGAAATTTTTTGGTGACTTTTTCAAATTTACCCGGAAAAAATTGTGAAAAAAAAGAAAATATCAAACATTTGACTTGAATTGTGGGATTTATGGCAGCAACAAGGGATTTGAGATCCTTCGATCATCTACTCTTTCGTTCGGTCAGGCTCATTTAATCAATTGTGATTTTTGACCGAAATCTTGTGAAATTGGTTCGGTAAACAGTTGAAGAGAGAAAAAAAACATCGAAAAACAAACTGTAAACTACTAAGAACATTTGTGTATCTTTTTAAGAGACTCGAACAAACAAACAAATCAAAAAAGACAAAATCAAACCAAAGATATTTCAATTTGAAACCAAAAAAATCAAACAAAAAGGCATCAACAAAGCAAAACAGGCAAAGAATTGATCTGTGCTAACTCCAACAGGCATTTTCATACTGCTCTTGTCTCCACCAACGGAACACAAAAACCGACAAGGTAAAGTATGGCATAAATATTTGAATAGATGTGAGTATATGGGTTAGGATGCGCTAGGGAATTCAAGACTCAAGACAGATTACCAAATCCAAACAGCAGGAGCAAAAAGATCATGATGCGGAAAATTCGCAAATATTTAATTGGGGTCGAAAGGAAACAAAAAGTTTTCTACTACGCATGAACAATGATGATTGATTTAGAATAGGCCATTTGACTTTGGGAAAATTGAGAAAAGCGAATTCACTAGGACAAAAGAACGAATCTATTCTCTCAACAATTTTCGAAGAGAAGATTCTGAACGATAAAATGGCTTTTTATTTCGGTTGTGAGCTTGATTTATGCAAATTTCATCACTTCATTGAATTTCTAATCGATGTTCAATTTCATCATTCAGTTGCGTAGGGTACTGAAGCATGTTATTGTTACAGACTAGATTATTCACCAATAGGACCCCCACTTTTCAACCAGGATCGATTTTTTTGCATCAAAGGAAATTTTAAACATTGAATTTTTATTTTGATGCGGCAACATTTCTATTGATTCCGGTTGTGGACTCAAAGTGAAAGCATTTTTTAATGGACCAAACGCTTCAATTTCCACCTCACTCCCTTCGCCCGTGAATTAATTCCATACCTTTTTTCGTATTCGTACGACAATTGGAATCTTCATTTGTATTCGTCGGCGACGAAACGGCGGAAAAAAAGAAATATTTAATGTAATTTAAAAAAGGTTACATCAATTTTTTTTCTTCATGCCAGTAGATGCATAAAAAAGCACGTAACAATACGGTCAACACAGAGAGAAAGAAGAGAGAAGAAGCGACGGGAGCATATTACTTTCATCATTTATATGAAGAAACGCTGGTAAACGTTTCGATTTCAGCGTTTGGGGAGCGTTTTGTGTGTGTAGCATCTAATTTTGTGTTTCCGTTTCAACTTTGGTAGGATTCCAGTTTCAGCGGCGACGGCACGTTTCATCATTTCAATGCCGTTATCGCCGTCGCTGCTGCCCAAATATTTGTTCAGCATCTTTTTGTTCTTCTTTCTATAATTTATTTGGAAGCGCTTTTTTCTGTGTCGCTATCTAAACATTCCATTCGCATTTGGAAATCAGTTGTGCAAACATGCGTACAAACAACGTCACGAAAAGAGACGACCAAAAAAGATCGACATACATGTATGATGTAAGTGTATACACTTGGATAGAAAATGAAACCAAAAGAAAGGGAAAAAGAGAAAATGTGAGTGATGAAATAAAATCTAAAAACGATCCAATTTGATTGGAAGTGTTATCGAAAATGTGATATAAGAAAGTGGGATATGTTTTCACAGTATTTGAGCTTTAGTCAATTGTGGTATGGATTATGGTTTCATGTTCTCCCTTTTCACTCTCTCTCTCTCTCTCCTTCTCTCTGTCTCCGTCCTCGTTATCGTCTCAACGAGTTGGTTTCATTGATCGAATTCGACAAAGCAATCGGGCGGGCGGGCGGTCGGTCGGTATGTTGTACGTTAGCACTCAAATTCAAAAGGATTTGTACACTCACATTGTCGATCAAGCGCTTAACGCGTTATTTCAAGGTAGATTGAGTACACACATTAAGAGTGAACGGCATTGTGTAGAGAGTGATGATGATTAGTGTTCCAATTCGTTTGGTCCATTGAATTGAAATCGATTTGGTTGTATCAACTTTACTTCTTACGGCATTCATCATAATCACAATGAAAGTTACTGAACGAGAAGAGTGCTTGTCCAGAAAAAAATGACCCATTTTTATAAACGCACTAATCTTGATGAATTGGATTGTTTTGTTTTCTTTTTCTCCATTTTTTGTTCTCTTTACATCTCAACGGAAACAGATGCAAGTACAACAGAAACAATTTACGGGCTTGGTAGCCGATCTGATGCCGAACATTAAGCTGATGCGATTCTTAGGCCATTTTCTTCACAAACTCTCCAACGGACCAAGCTTTCTCAACACACTCTACTCATTTATGCATCTGATTTTGATGTTACTGCAATTCGTTTGCATCATCGTCAATTTGGCACTGAACACCAGCGAGGTCAATGAATTAACGGCAAACACTGTAACGGCACTTCACTTTATGCACACGATCACGAAATTCAGCTACTTGGCCATGAACAACAAGAACTTTTATCGTACGTTCAACATTTGGAATCAATCGAACTCTCATCCGTTGTTCGCCGAATCCGATGCTCGTTACCATAGCATTGCCTTGGCCAAAATGCGCAAAAACTTCTACATGATTACCACCTTGACCATGGCCACCGTAACAGGCATGTTGTCCATTCCAATTTGCACATTCTGCTTGGAACCAGTACAAAGACTTTTTTTCCTATTGAATTTCAAGGCCAACCATTGAAATACTCATATCGAATTTTTTTCTCACACAATTAAACACCAACAGCATGGACTGTCATCACTTTCTTCGGCGAGAGTGTAAAGGGTGTTTTCGATAAGGAGACCAACGAAACCTACTACGTTGAAGTTCCACGTTTACCAATCAAATCGTACTATCCATGGAATGCAATGAGCGGCATCCCCTACATCGGAACGTTCATTTTCCAGGTAAAAACGAACAATTGACTTTCAGTGAAATGACACACACACACACACACACACACACACACACACACACCGCGTTGTGAATAAGGGACTAAAAAAAAATTTCAATCCAAATTTTACAGGTTTACTACTTGACCTTCTCCATGTTGGCCTGCAATCTCACCGATGTCCTCTTCTGCTCATGGTTGTGTTTCGCTTGCGAACAATTGTGCCACTTGAAGGTAATAATATCTCAAATAATAACCAACCTGCCGCCTTTTGAATGGCATTCTAATCGACCTAATTTCACTTTGCCACTCACGAACAGGGCATCTTGAAACCATTGATGGAATTGTCCGCCTCATTGGATACCTACCGCCCAAATTCGGCCGCTCTTTTCCGTTCGTTGTCTGCTAACTCAAAATCTGAATTGGTCAACAATGACGGTAAGTAATGTTCGCTATTTCGTTCAATTTAAAAACAATTCAAAAAGCCCATTTTAGTCTTTTCAAAGACCATCAATTGATTTTTACTTAAAATTCTTGTTCTTTGTTTTTCTTTTGTGCGTTTTTCCCTACCAATACAGAACTCGATCAAGAGGAAAATGGCAACGTTTTCGTACCGAAAGCTGAATGGGGCGGCACCTTCAAAGTTCCACCAAACTTGGCTAATCCGAATGGCCTGAGCAAGAAGCAGGAGATTATGGTTCGCAGTGCAATCAAGTACTGGGTCGAACGTCATAAGCACGTTGTACGGTATGTATTTTGATTTTCCTTCTTTCGTTATGGATTCAATCAAGAATTGAAAATTTGATTTAAACATTTTGGCAAATAGATAAGTGGAATTAACATTTTATATTGGAAATTCGTGAACAATAAGTGAAATGAACTAGATGCAAAATATCTCGATAAAATAACGAAGATTTTCTTAGACTAAAGAATTTACGCGATGTGGCATTGAATCAATTTAAATCAATAAGATAATATTGTATGCTTTGAAGTGTCCCAATTCTCATCCAGTATACAATTCGCTTGCTGTTATTGCCTTTCAAAAGAGCGCTTTGAAAGCACAAACATTTTTTACATATATCCAACCTTCAATGCGCTGCACGTCCCCCATGTAGCAATCACTTTTATTTGAAATGAAAACATTCGTTTCGAATGTTCCAATAGGATACGTATTCATTGTCGTTGCCGTACACTTTGAATGCATTTGTGTAGTTGGTCTTTGAAATTACGAAAATTGCTATCGATTTTCCCGATTCAAGTGTCGAATCGCAACAACAACAACGGCAACATTTTATAATCGTCGGGATTCACAACTACCAGCACTGTGTAGCAGCCCATACACATGTGTTAAAATTCATAAGCCAAACCTCAGTGCGATAAATTTATTGTATCAATAGGTAATTGGTGCAGACCATAAATTGCACCATGCCATTAAAAATTAGCACTAGACATGCCACTAAATTGTGAAAGGAAAATACATAAAATGTGTGGCGATCCTTTTTCATACATTCATTCGAAAAGTGAGGTAATTTCAATTCAATGGATATGACAAAAGTAGTGGATATGCCACCATTTAGTCCTTTTCTTTGTTCATCGATACACGGCCAATTCTTCATTTATTATTTAAAAATTCTAAACGTATGTGTGTGTATGCGTGAAGTGGTGTCTCGACCCTGTACTTCAAAATCGGATTCGATTGTGATGTCGTCAAAGCGGCACACAGCTATACTGATATATGGTGTATATGTTTCCACGTGTTGAAATTCTCACGAATTCAAAACCATGCTATGCTATTGATTTTGAACTACAAGTTTCCATTTGAAAAAATCATTATTGCTGTATTTTTCAAACAAGTATACTGAAAAAAAGAAAGAAGAGAAGGGAAAAGGGTGAAAATACAAAAAAAAAATCAATTCGAAATGTGTTCGTCCCAATTCGTTGCCTCATTTTTCATATTTCAGTATACTTTTAGCGGTTAGTTTCTTGAAACTGTGGCTTCAATCATCGATCTGGTTATTATTTGTCATCGTTGTCGTTGTCATTCGATATTGCTATCAACTTGCTCCACTCACTTTTCCATTTCAACCTCGTTCATATTTATCTCTTATCAAATATTCAATATTGTCCTCAAAATCAGTTTCATTTTTTCTTTGTGTCGTGATTTTTTCTTCCATATTACTTCCATTGGATTGTTCTTGTTGCGTTTTACTTTGCTGCGAAAATTGTGCGGGTTTGATTTTGTGTTGTTAAATACGTACTTGACTCTTTGCCTGTATTCAAGAACTTTCCACAAAAATCAACACAAACAGAACGAACGAACGACACTTTGGGCACAAGAGTTGTGCTGCCGAATTTTGTGAATGGCGACAACGCAAGCGGATAAACTTTGTGCAAAATTCATGATGGTCATATTTTAGTGTTGGAATTTAGATGTAACTGGGAAAAGTGTCACATATACAGTCCATGGAATATGAATTGAAGGTTTGACTCAAATGATCGAACAAATAGATTCATTGACAGCATGCTCAAATGAATTATTCGTTGAAACGCCTTCACAGTTTCCCCTTGTGATAAATCAAATTGCTTCGCATTTTTTATTTTTTTTCCAATTGAACGCCATCGGAATTGGTTTAATCTTTGAATTATTATACCTTATTTATAGCTCACGTACGCACACACACACAATGCATCGTTTACGTCTCAAGCCAAGTGCTTTTTCGCGCTAACCATTACGGTTGTGCTAAAACGGCCAAAATTAGGCGTTCTTTCGCTTGAATTATCTCAACTGCGCTGTGTTCCCGTTTATGGTGAGGTTGTGTTCTTTTGGGCACACACACTCGCACAACTCATTTACACACACACAACAAAATACAAACGAACACAAACCCGCGCTTTTAATGAACGACAACGATTTAGTGATAACCACTAGTACGCTACATAGACACGCATCGAATTTTAAATACTTGTGTGGTTGTGTCATGTACTTAACCGTTTAATCGATATGATGAAAGACGACATCCTTAGCCAGCCAGCAAGCATATCAACTTAGTTAGAAAATTTAATTACGACCACACGCTCACTTTCAATCTCTCTGTTCCCGCCCTGCCTTTCGTTCAGAGGTTGAATATCATTATGATGTCTATGTCGAATGCCACATCTGAGGGCCTTAAACACTGTACTCGGATTACACATTTTTCATGAATTTGATCCTTTTAACCATTTTAAATGGTTCATCTATCGCCCCGGCTAAAACGCACGTTTGCCACGAGCGAGAAATTCGCTGGAATTCCGTGTAATCAAATCAAAACCATTTTTTGAGTAAAATACACTCGATTTGGACCGCAACATTGAATTTTCACCCTGCATTAATATTTGATTTGATATTTACTCAAATCATTTTATGCGAATAATCGCTTATCATGGCTCCCATTTACACAGCGCCGCACAACACATTTGCAATTCAACAACCATTTCAGAACCGAGAAAAAACCACTCTGGCGCATTAATTCAATTTAAAGCACACTTGAATATTCATCATCCAGCCGGAACATTTGCATGTCTGTGGAATTTTTCCCGATGAATCTAATTTGAACAAATTATTTTAAACTTTTTTTCCACTCTCCGACCGACTGACTTTTGACAAGATTCCGCTCACGTCGGATCAAGAGAAAAGGGATGTGAGGGAGAAAAGAAAAAGAGAGAGAGTATAACCACAAATTCAGCAAAACGAAGGAGGAGGATGAGAAGAAATAAAATAAAGTGAACAAGTAATATTTACCGAAGAAATTCGGGTATACAAACTGACCCACTTTCAGTTCTCTCTTAATATTGATGTTTGAAAAGTTGGTTATGGTATCCGGAGCTTTTGTGCTGAGTCAGATTTGATCAAACAAATAACCAACCATTCTCAATTTGGGCCGTATAAAACCACTTTGTAATAGAAAATTCATTGTGATAGTCTCTTTGTAAATTCAAAGGGATAAAGTTGCAGTTATGTGAGTGTGTGTATGTGTGTGAGTCCCAAGAAATTATTATCAACGATAATAACCAAAGTTACATCTTGGGACAGCCATGTTAAATGAACAGATTTACAACGCACTATTGGATGCATTGTTATTTATGGCGTTGTAAAAGTCACACATATATATATTTTGTTTATTTAAGCCTATACAATAGTCACTAGTCCCAGTGGCTGAGCCAATTTCACATCTTGTCTTGTTTATTATACTGTCCAATTTGATGATGTATATGCGTCGTCGAGCGCGCATTGGGCAAAACTGAATTTAAATATGTCTGAGCTGAAGCCAAAGCCACACACGCTTTATGACGGGGGCAAAAGTGCAAAACATGTAAAATAATCACTTTTGATTGAAAATTAAAGGGTAAATAAACGGTTTGTGTGAAATTTGGTATGAAAAAGGGTTCGATACACATACACAGGGAGAGAGAGAGAGAGAGAGAGAGAGAGAGAGAGAGAGAGAGAGAGAGCGAGAGAGTAAGCAAACCGTTTTACATTTTAATCACGAACATTCGGTTTTGAGTTCAGCTTAACTAAGGATACATGTACACGAGACAAAAGAAAAAAACTTTTGGTTAGACGGTCTTCGGCAAAAGGGATTGTTTGAAAAACGAATAGAATTGGGAGGTTGGTGGCATTTGTTCGGGCCAAAGTCATCGCAGTCAAAAAGGATATACCGATCGGGTAGATCTTTTATGTAGATGTTGTACACATGTTTAGAGAAACGCGCTCATTTCGCCTGATGAGTCATTGTCAAGGCGAAATGAGTTCCTTTCTGTCAGGCTGCCAGTGGGCTTCACACACATAATCGACAACGTCACTTTGACTGTATTGTCATAGTCGCAATAAACTCAGTCTAATTCAGGCCTGTCCAAATTATTTTCTGCGGGTGCCACATGAGTGGCACTGATTCCTATCGAAGTGCCACTTTTGAAAAAAATCAAAAAAACACACAAAAACCAATTATTTGTTAGTATAAAATGTATGTTTACGTATATAAACGTATATTTATATTTGCAAATATTCATTAAATCAACAAATATCATTTATTGTTTATTGAAAAATCAATGGGATGGATGTAGCACCTTATGCTGTATCATTTTGACAAAATCTGGCTTAACCGGTGTAAGTTCACAACGAAATTCAGATTCGAGGTTATTTTGTGACAAAGCGTTGCGATATTTAGACTTGCGGCGAGTCATACTTGAAAAAGTGCTTTCGCAAACGTACGTTGAATCAAACATACAAAGAAACTTTGATACGACTTTATTAAGTGTGATAACATTACACTCAGAGAGCAGCCGCTTACATAAAGCATCGCTTTTTTCATTTGGTAAAGAAGTTTCTTCCTTAATCAGAGCAATATCAAACTGTAAACGATTTTTATTCGTTTCAAACCGATCTGCCAACATTTGAATGTTGTTTTCATCAAAAATGAACGGATTTCTCAGGAACTCAAATACCAAACTATATTTTTCGAAATACCAACTATAATACGAAAAAAATAAAAAAAATCTGTTCTCGATGCCAAGGTGCCACTGTGTAGCAGCGCAGGTGCCACAAGTGGCACAGTGGCACCCGATTTGGACAGGTCTGGTCTAATTGTCATTTGGCGAGTGCGCATAAATACAAAGTCCGCGTTACAGACACACGCTGCTACACGCATTTCCTTCCGACAAAATCACATGTATCGCATTTATAATCATCTAACGCTGAGGCGTTTGGGGTCAAAGCAGAGCAAATCCATGCTGATAGTAGAAAGCTACAGCCGGAAAAACGGAATTTCAAAACATGGCTCTCATTCTGCTAACAAAACGGACTATAATAATAATACAATCGATAAATCTCTCGCTCTCTCTTTCTCTGGTGCCTTCTCGCTTGCCATGCCTTACCTATGTGTCTTGTGTAAGTGTTTGTTTGAGTGCGAACGCACAACGAACCAGTGCCGAGTTAGCCATATGGCAAATGAGGCAGTTGCCTCGGGCACCACGTTCTTGGGGGCACCACGAGCATGGGATTTTTGTTAATAATCTGAAAAAGAAAACACGCAGCCCAAAATGGGCCCAAAAATGTTTTTGGTGCCCCAAAAATGGTATTTCTAAAAAAAATTTTGCTCGCTACCGCTCGCATTCGATATGTACGTTCATTTTACCTATAATTATTTGTATATATACCGGGAAAAAATTGCAAGGGGCAACAAAATCATTTTTGCCTCGGGCACCAAATTTGGTTAACTCGGCACTGCAACGAACACAAAATGATAGGATCGAAAGACAATAGCTTATTGTTTGTACAGCTTCTGGCTCGAGTTATCATTTCTATCATGTGTCATTTTCTACTCTCTTCAGCTCGGACTAGACTAAACCGAACCGAACCGAACCGAAACGCCATATCGTATATACATCAATTTAGCTTTGTTTGTATAACACTTTGCTAGCCTGTGTGAATGCCTGTTTGAAGCGTTTTTGTCCCGTTACGAATGCTAATGTGCAATGGGTTAAGTATAAACTATCTCAAACAAAAGCAATCAATGGATTGTGTACTGTATGTGTATGCGTGTGAGCGAGCTCTTGGTGCCATCACGAAATGAAAGCAAGCGAATGAACGTTCATTAAACCTGCGACATCACTGGAATTGGATTTTCAAATGGGATCTTTCTCCGCTCTCTCTATATCTCTGTCTCCATCTCATGTTTTGGCACGGCTACATGTAACCCATCGTTGTGTACTGTATGCAATGTGAATTGGATATCAGCAAGCAGCCCAAAATGTATCTCGAAATCACTTCATTTAAATGAGAGATGCAGGCAAAATGTTCAAATTGCATTTGATTTTATATATATTTGTGTGTGTGTGTGTGTGTGTGTGTGTGTGTGTGTGCGTCTGTTTTAGTGAAGCGGAATCGAACTCAAATGCACAACCACTCTACGATAATTGATATTTAGGTCTATTTTACATTTTCAATCTAACCAAATTCATTGGCAGCAATTTGCAAACTTAATTCTGTACCATTAGATTTAGCATATATCTCGTTTACATTGTGTGCGTATGGGTATACACTGGCATGTGCCACCGGCATTTGACAAAATCTTTGAATATATCTCGATTAAAGATAAATCGGTGTGTAAACCCACACCAAAGCTGACCGCCGCTGCCCAAAATTCGAATCAAACGCTGATTTTCGATGTTGTTCGCACTTGTTGTATCGACTGCTGCTGTTGATTGTTTTCAAAGAATACCTAAAAAATCAATATACACCACATACAGCCCCAAAATTGCTATCTCTAAATGGCTAAAATGGTAAATGCTTTTTTTTCTCTTCCTTTTTTTCGGAAACAGACTTGTATCGGCCATCGGTGACACATATGGCGCTGCTCTTCTATTGCACATGTTGACATCAACCATTTGCCTTACTCTCTTGGCCTATCAAGCAACGAAAATCGATGGCGTCAACGTCTATGCTCTATCCACAATCGGATATTTGGTTTATGCACTTGGACAAGTATTCCATTTTTGCATTTTCGGTAATCGTTTGATTGAAGAGGTAAGCGTTTTCTCCCTCTCTCTGTGTAGCTTTATCCAATTTGGCTCTCGCTCTTTTGCCATCATCTATTATTTAATATGTATCTATTTCACACACACACAGAGTTCATCGGTCATGGAAGCGGCTTACTGTTGCCACTGGTACGATGGTTCGGAGGAAGCAAAGACTTTCGTACAGATTGTCTGCCAACAATGTCAAAAGGCTATGACCATTTCGGGTGCGAAATTCTTCACCGTTTCTCTGGATCTGTTCGCTTCGGTATGTGCCTCTTCTGTTTAATCACCGGAAATTAAATGAAACCAAAGCAAATAACAAATACTCATGCTCGTTTATTTGCATTGAAAATAGGTGCTCGGTGCTGTTGTGACCTACTTCATGGTGTTGGTGCAACTCAAATAAGCATCTTCATCGACGGAAGCAACACCGCCAAAAACAAAACACACCCACCCACCCACTTCTGGGCACGATTTTCAACAACAGAAAATTCAGACATACTCAATTTTTCTTAATCCAGTACAATATTACACATCAACGCGCGCGCATAGATTCACATTCGCGCCTATTTATAAACACAGATATTTATATTACAAAAATATTATTATCATTATAACTTTTTTTGACGAAATACTTTTAATCAATTTAAATGAACGCACTTGATACCCAATGAAATACAACATTTGTGTAGGTTTTTCTTTGCTCAAAAGCCCAATGCTGGTGATTATCTCACCAAATAATAGACGAATATAAAATTCAATTAATACTATAATATATTTTACAGAATAAACATAGCCCAAAATATTGCCACCCATATGATTGGATGACATTCGCACATTTGACTCTACACGCTTTGTATATACGAAGCGTTTCTATAACACACAAAAGCAACAGTCCACAGAGCGGAGCACTGCAAATGTACTTGAACATTGTAAACCGTAGACTGTGGACTATCTTCTGTAGATATGCTTAGTACAGCATAGAGCAGAATAAAGCGAATACGAAGCACGTAGAGTCAAATATCGATTTAGTTTAAGGATATTTTCAATTCAAATGTGCACACATTTTCTTTGTGCATTATTATGGTATGAGGCCAACACGAAGATTTTATTAATTTCACTTTACAGACTATGATAGTTAGTTGGTCACACTGCTCAACATGTATGAGTGACTGTTGTCATATTACCAACTTATATATATTATGGAGCAATAAATTTGGTTCACATGAATTTAAGCAGATCAATTTTATCAGGAATATTTTCGATACGTTAACCATACTATGAATATTAATCGTGCAATACAATATTATAATTATAACAAGTGAAATGACTCTACAAAACAATTAACAATAAAATAAACCAAAAAGCAATTTATATACGCACTCTGAATGGATTGTGCACAATGCCAATATATATTTTCATGTAATATTCTGAGAAAAGTTTTACCTAATTTATTATATAAGTATTGATTGATAGGAATAATTTTTTGGTCGCAATTGATGCATCAGTGATTCTTATCGTTGGCCAATTTGATAAAATTTTCTTCATTTGGATTTTCTGGTACAAAGTACCTGTATTTGCAGCGGCTATCAATAACAATCACCGTTGTATCGCAATAGGCGGGGGATGTCAATCACATAAACCAAATCTATTTTTAGAGTTTGAAATGATTTATCTTGTACAATTTGAATAAATATTCATCAAACACGGTTGTTATAAAAAGTAACTAATAGTATTTAGTTATTGAGATGCTCAACACAAACTGTAACATGTCTGACGGTTCAGCAGACAGTTTAGATTGAGCCAATACTTAGACTATTTTATGATAGATTTAATCAAATTTATTTACTTGATATTATTTTTAATGAATTATTTAATTTTCTTTTGACACTCAAATGTTTGTGTAAAATTGGAATGAGTAACGAACGGTCAGTCGATATACGTATATACGGTTGAACTGTGAAGTGTTTTTTTTAAATACTGATGAATGATTTATGCAACTCAATAAATTTTTTTAAATAATAACAAAAAAAATTAGAAAAATTAAAAAAAAAACAGAACAATTCCGAACAATCCACACATTTTGTCACAATAGACATCAGGTAAAAAAAAACAGTAAACAATTTTTAGCCAATAGGGTGTGGTACTTGAAAAACGAGATACCAATTTTTCAAATAGTTTCAATATTTAATGCGGCACAGACCGTTAATGACTCTTATTCAAATACACCTATAATAAACCGACAACACCACTGATACAAGCAAACCAACAAAAAATAATTTAATCGATTCGCTGTAAATATGTCGTTTTTAATTTGAAATTAATGCCAATGGTACTGATCAGTATCAGTTCTTTTTTTGTTTATCAAAGGGCTAGCAACGTTTAGAATGCAGCCGTATATTCGGTGCATTTCGAATATGATCAATTTTACTATTACACATATTTTTTACGCTAATATTTTCTTTGATGATTTTCACCATTGAAACGATGACTTTTCTCGGTTAACATTTTGGTTGAAATACGCTAAATGTGAACATTTCAAAATTTTAACAAAAAAAATTCATTAATTACCACACAGATTTTCCGCAATTCAGTTGAATATTATGAATCAAAACCCTTTGCAATTAATTTAATGAGCTTAAAATATTTCATTTTCGATGAAAAATGACTTGTTGTTCTGCACTGAAAGCCAATGACTAAAATTAAAGCACTTCTATGAATAAATAAACGGCAAAAAAATGAATAAATGAATGAACGGCACGATGCCGTCAGCATCACGATAACAAGAGCAAAAAAATTGTTGAAAAAGCAACATTAAAAGCAGTATTTTATCAATTTTATTAATCACCTATTTGATGCTTTAATATTAATTTTATTGATGGTTTTGCTTTTTTGTTCCCACGGGGGAAATATACGCTTAAATTTTTATGCTAGAGATTTAACACGAAAAATCAACAGGAACAAAATACAAAAAAAAGTGTGTGAGGTTACAATTACTATCGATAAATGATGACTACTTTATTAAATTTAATTTGGGAGAGTGAGATACGTACCTTTAAACAGTACACATTTTTACATCTAGTTCCTACTTTATGAACATTTTTTAATTATTAAATTGTTGTTCTATAGAGAAAAAATTTATATTTTGATAAATGGGATGGTGCACGAAAAATATATATCAATATTTGCCTTAAACAGAGAGCAAAAAGCAATTAAACATATCAACTAATATATGAATAATAATATCAGAGATATGGTAATTTATATGCGAAAGTATGCCTTTACAACAGTGGCCTATAGAATATAATGAAGTTAACCAAATTAACCACAACTAAAATGCATATGGATAAAATCGAACAATAACAAAAAACACACACTTTATGTGAAAGTAGAATTATATGGAGGGAAAAAATTAATATTTGAATTGCATTGGTAAATATTCTCTATTAGAAAAAAGTATATGAAAAACGTTGACTTCAACATATTTTCCCTTTTTGCGCGTGGCCATGCAGCTATTTTTTGCTGAACTCACAAATAGTTTATAACATGAATAATGAAATAAGCACAATTTGATGAAAAAATCACTATGAACAAAAATCTATTGAAGACTAACCGCGTGTCCAAGTGCTCAACTGATGCTGATTATGTGCGAACCAAGCGATTTTTTTTTGCTCCTCTAGTTGAAAGGGGATTTTCATTTGTTTTTTGCTCGATTGGAATCGATTGGCCCGTTATCACGTATGCTATCACAAGCTGCCTTTGAATTGTGAAGAGTGAAACAAAACTCTGCCAAAATTACTAAAAACTACCAAAAAAATGCCATTAATAGTAATGAAATGCATTTATGCACATGGACACGCGGGTAAAAATCACCAAAAATGAAATCGAAAAAAAAAATTAAACACAAATGAATTTGATGGAAACATGGAATGATTATTGTGGTAATTTCTCAAATGATGTGGTTTTACATAATACGGAAATTAGTTGGAATGTGCGAAAATGAATGGCATGAGAGTAACATTTTATTGTTGATTACATGGAACGAATGAAGTGATCAAACGTGCTGAGCACGATGGACAATGGCCGATGCTGTTGTGCGCCAGGTACGCAACATTTTGATTTGAGCGGATAAACATTAATGAGCTTGGCATTGTTCGGATGTTTAATAGAGTTAGCAAATTAGAAGGCTATAAACAGTAATGCAGCAACTTATATTTTACAACGCAAAGAAGCAACTTTAATTCGGTGGGTGAGTTTGAAAGGAGATAGTAAATATCAATTTTTTCAACTTGAAAAAACTTGTTTGGAAAACAAGTGGAGGCAGGAGTGTATTTCTAATCCGCGTTTTTTTCGAAATGACAATAAATAATGAATTGGTACAATTCCAAGAATTGACGGTTTTTTTTCAAAATATAAGCATTAATTGATAGGAATAATTTTTTTATCGATAATGAAGTCGCGATCGATACAACAATGATTATTGTCGTTGGCCAATTTGATAAAATTTTGTTCATTTGGATTTTTTTTGGTACATTTTCTATATCCGAAATGGCTAGCGACAACAATCACCAAAGCATCACAATTGATGGTGGTCAAATCACATAAACAAAACCCATTTCACTTTACCGAAGATAATATTTCTATATCCGTTGAACGAAAATAATTCAGTTTAACATTGGTTGACCACTCATAAGTAGTATAAAAATGCCGAAAAATACTACTCTCATAATGAATACTCTCTCCTTTTGCCAAATCAAATTCAGTCGAACATACTCTTCTCTCAAACTCACCCATTAAAGAAAATGTGAAGAAAACGATTTGAAAAAGAAAATTATATCACAATCCAATAGACGCGGTATTATTTTCGATTCAATTTAATTTGATTTTAAAGTTTAGTGCCCTACAACAACATGATTGGTTCGTTTTTCAACTAAAGTTGGATTTTGATCTCTTTTTGATTTTTGCGATTATGTTTATTTCTTCTTTTTCTGAGAAAAAATGCTAGCAGTTTCATTTATATTACAAATATTGTATTTCCATTTGCTGGAATTAGACTTATTACACATGCGCATTGTACCGAAATGGATTATAATTTTGACGAAATTTCAAATAAAGTGATATTTAAACAAACAATATGAATTTCATTCTGTTTTAGGTAAAAATACATATATGTTTCGCTTCGAATAGAAAATAGAATGAAAACTGATTAAATGGTTATATAATAAATGATTCAATTTCATTTCTTGCTGTGATTTTATTTTTTCGCGCGTTGTTTACATGCACTTTCCATTCGTAAGTTTCGATTGCTGTTGCTGTCATAAAGTGACAAATCATTTCACATTTAATAAAACAATTTGGGAATAATACGTAAAATTATGTCATTTCGATGTAAGGCAAATTCATTATATCTGTCTCTTTCTAGCTTAACCTCATTGTCATTGCTACTTGATATTTCACTGAAACCAACAGTTGTAGAGTTGAATGCATATCATTTGTAGACTTGCAATTTCTTGAAATAATCCGTAAAATCTCTTTAAAATGCAATTGGATGCTATTAATCCACTTCAAATTACATATTAAAATCATGAAACAATGCACAGAATGCTTCCGTACAAGTTAATATTGGGTTATCTTGTGTTTACACCAGAGCGGCGCTTCATACCGCAACGAAGCCAGCTTGTTACTCATCGGTTTCATAGTGTAGTGGTTATCACGCCTGCTTCACACGCAGGAGGTCTTGGGTTCGATCCCCAATGAAACCATTTCTTTTTTTTTTATTTCGACCCTCAATGGAACATTGTTTTTGTTATTTTAACACTTTTTTATGGTTAAGAACATCATTTGATTTTTTTCTCGCTAGATTCATACATGTGAAGATCACGGATTCATTCTGAACCACTTTTATTGAAACGAAAACATTACAAAACCAAAATCTCTTGATATTATTCTATGAAATGCGATAAAAATTGTGATAATTTTTTTTTAATGAATATAAATCGATACTTTCAATCCAAATTAAGCATTATATAATCAAATCGAATAAGAAAAAATGATTTTGAAATAAAAAAAAAGAAATGGTCGCACTCAGGATTGAACTGAGGACCTCCTGCGTGTGAAGCAGGCGTGATAACCACTACACTATGCGACCTATGAGTAATAAGCTGGCTTCGTTGTGCAATGACACGCCTCTCTAGTTTAAACAGAAAATTACTCTAATACTATTGTGCCGAAGCATTTGACATTGATTACATATCGCATTTTTGTCATGTCTTATTTTGGGATGAAAGCGGGTATTCTCTGCATGATTATTCCATTGGTTTTTCATTAGTATTCAATATAAACGGGAAAAAATGGAATAGAAATAAAATTTTGAATTCATTTGTATCATGTTAGAAAGAGATGAATGTTTTGAATAAGCAGATTGCAAAGAAAAATTAAATTTGTATAAATGTTTCTCATTCATAATTTATATCCGCTGTGAAATACTAACAAACAAAACCAATTTATTACCTACACAAACCAAGTTCTCAAATATTTTCAAAGTTAATACAATAAAATATTGAAATGAATGAAGGAGGGTTCTTGCGAAATGAAAATTTTAAAACAATGTGGTTCCACTTAGGAACGTTGATAAAAAAGAAAAATGATTCCAGCATTGATCGAGTGATCAGCAGCTAAAAGTATCACTCGAAATTGCGGCCCACTATGTGTGAAGCAGACGTAATAACCACTACACCATGGATTCTTTTTTAAACGGCTGAGAGAAGAATATTGCACTGAGTTATTCATTCTCTGCATGATTATTTCACTAGTTTTTCATTAGTATTCAAAACAATCGGAATTTCGAATTCAATTTTTGCTCGTTATATAGAGATAGATTTTTTGAACAAGCAAATTACATCGAAACAATACACTAATATTAATATTTACATTGATTTAAAGCAACAAATTCGCTATTTCAAATTAAATTTGTTTGAATGTTCCTTGCCATTTTTTGGATGTGCAAAAATGTAATTTATATCCGCTGTGAAATACTAACAAACACAACGAAATTACTGTACAAACCAAAATTTCAAATATTTTCAAAGTAAAAATATTGCATTAAAATGAAATAAAACGCATAAATTCAATGCGAATCGCATATTTCATTTGGTGAAGTAACAACCGAATGGAAACAACGGTGGTTTCCATGCAAAAACCGAAAGAACGAAACGAACAAAACATGAGCGTACCACGATAGCAAGAGAAATTCGTTGCAATTAATTCGCGTTGTTTTCTACCATGTATATGGTATCTCTTTTGAAACTCACCACGAACTGTATCGCTGTACAAGCATAAAATATTCTTGGTTTCTCGAGAAAACCGACAAAAAAAACCACACCGTCTGCGTATGTAATGTTACGAGGGACTGGCAGCAAAAATACAGTAAAAGCGATCTGTTTCGGTCAGAAATGTAATTGTTTCGATGTAGCGATAACGCCATAAAACTACGAGCAAGTGTAAGCAAGTGAGCGAGCGACATCAGAAAAAAAGAGCAACAAAAGGCACACAGGGAAAAAAGCATATTCTCCAAAGTGTGTCTGTACACTGTACATTGTGTGCTCACATGGTCATTTGGATTATTGGTTAATGGTAATTTATGGTGAATTCCAACCAATTTCATCGTTGCTTTTTTTCTTTCGTCTCTCGTGGCATTTAATAAATTTTGTGTTGATCCGAAAAAATGCCATTGTAAGGCTTTGGTCAATTGAGTTCAGAAAATCAGTCGAAGAGCGAACAAAAAGGCCATTTGGAATTGATCAACATCAAAATTACTGTATTTCGGCTATAAGTCAACAAGGCTTTTCCTGAACTCGGATTTCTTAGAACCATTCAAATAATCGCCGCTCTGCTCACCATGACAAACTATTCGGCTATTCTGCGGAAAGATAAAGGCCGCGTCAATTCAAGATCCCAATAAAAGATACACATACATAAAAAAAATATTGTTTTCGTTTGATTATCTGCCAAACCAATTTTATTGTGCAAAGTATTTATTGATTTTTCTCCGAATTGGATAAGTTTTAGCCTTGGCATAGGCCAAGCGCATCGTTTCCCACTGTGACATTTACACCTGTAAATTTTTCATCTTCACACCGACCCAGCGATTACATTAGCATAACAATCGTCGCCGTAGTCGTTCCGGATGCGTGCGTGTGTGCCCGGTCCATGGGTCACGCTGCAGAATTGGAGCCATCGCCGAAAGCGATCGATAGAATTTCATTGAATTTGCCAAGTTTTGCCAAAGTAAAAGAAACATGAATGCATAATGCAAATGGTGCGACGTCGCAGTCTCAGGTGAGAATCATGTCGTTTCCATTCTCGTTCCAGTCGATTCGTGCGTTTCTGAATAGACGTTGATATTTACACTTTAGTAAGGCCATTCGTTGTTATTCGATTTAACTGACAATGTTGAAATCAAACGCGCTTAGTTCAGTCACCAAATTATGGAAATAATCTTCCGGTTTCCATCAACACATTAGCATTTTATTTTCCCGGTGCCGTGTGAGTAGCCCTGTACCAACAATTCGTTTGCTTGCTTGCTCACTCGCGCACGCCATCCATTCCATTATTTTTCTTCATTTCTTCTTTTTTCCACATCTCGACTTGTTCTTATTTCGATCACGTTTTTGCAATATATGCAAAGCTCAAACTCTCATCTATTTTATTATAATTTATTTGTATTTCGTTTTTTTTCTATAATGAATCGAGACACGCGCACAAAATTCGTGCGTAAAGAGTGAAAAACCGTACCCATAACGGCAATAAAATAAGTGCACATGAACCCGAGCGACATTGCCAGCGCAATGAATGGCGCTGAATTGTCTAGTGCGAGCAATGCAAAGTTTATCAGAACGTAATTGACAATCATCTGCTAACGGAAAAACGATCGCTCTCTCGCTCTTTCTCTTCCTATGCATCTCTAGCTCTATGGAATAATAAATTCTACCAAGACAGAGAGGTTACGATTTTATTTCCACTCATAAATTACACGATGTTATATTGTGTGTCTCGGTTTATTTGTGTTCGATACGATTTGCACTCTTGTCTGTCTCCGTTTTGCTCTCGGACACAATTTCCATTCATCCTAGTCGGTATTGGTTGCGACATTCTATTGTGTCTGCGATGATAAATGCCCGACAGTTTGAATGCTTTTGATTGCTTTGCATTGCGCACTTTTTTTTATCTCTTTGTTTGTCTTCTCTAATCGAAAGCGATTAATTGGAGCACAACAAACATAATTACGTTGTGTACATTTTGATTTAGCGGTTGATTTTTTTCCGCCCCCATATCTCCCGCTCTCGCTATCGCACAGGATTCATTATTATGTCTGAGCTCTTGTTTATGCTGCCAATTTTTATCGTTCCAATTGTAATATGAGATATATATTCATGTAATTTTGGTGTCTATTGTCACACACAAATCGTTTTTCCTTTGAAAACCCATTTGTCCCATCGACTTAAATTGGTCTCATGTGATAAAATTCATAGAATCGAATTGAAGTACTCTTTTTCGTGTCATAAAAAAAAAATTGAATGAACTCAATCATTTTGGTAGATATTTTGGAATGAATGTCATATTTCTTCAATTCAAGGGGACCAGCAGTAACGAGTCGTTGAAGGGAGGAGAGTATGTCTAGCGAACGCAACATTGTTATGGCAATGAAATGCGCTATTTTTGCCATTGGAAAATTAGCAGCTCGGCACACGGCCAAAAATATTACCATTGTGCCTATTGCCGCTATACTAATTTGGTCGATGGGCTCGAAATTGTTTCGATTGAATAATTCATCGTTTCTCAATTTCATACAATCGCGTAATGCGATATTTAACATCATTTGAAAGTCAGACGTACCAAGATGTGCGCTATGCGTATTTTCATGATGAGCGTGTAACAAAAGGAATTATTATCGGAATGAAACGGAAAGAAAATGAACACTCTCTTGTTCACGGTCCACCATCTATGCGCGGTTTTTTTTCATTGTGTTTCCATTTAAATTGCAAAACTGCTGAAAAATTTGCCGAAATTTGAGTCGAAGAAGAAGAAAAATCTCAAATTCAACGCATTCGATTCGTATTCAACAAAAGCAAAGAAAAATCATGCATCTTTTTGTTGAGGTAATGGAATATGTATGCCGGATTTCCCGCAGCCTCTGCGTGTAATGATTAAAGCGAATCAGGAGATTTTCTTTTCGCTGTGATGCGGTTACAATTACAATTACCCGGACAGAAATCGCGCAATGCCAAAATGAAGCAAAGAAAAAGTCGAATTTTTCGTTGGATTTTTTTGGCATGTACGAAAGTGAACAATAATTAAACCTTCATTTGGATAGGAAAATATTAAGTGAACTTTCACAGAAGTGTGGCGAAATTGTGGCAAAAAATCTGGGTTTAAAAAAAAATCAAAGTAGTTAAGAAAGTCACGCAGTGGCAAAATCCCAAATGGTTTCATGTGAAAGTCAAGTAAAAGAGCATATTATGTGATTAATAATTGTTCACGATATATGCGAGAGTCTCTTCATGGTCACTAGCCTATTAAAATTGGCAACGCATTCAATAGAGAGTCAAAGATAACTTTTTCTTCTTCTTCAACTTCTGTTCGCCTCAATTTAGTGCCAGTGGATTTTTGAGTATGAAGCACACTCGAGTCAGTAATTATAGGGATTAATGGTACTTAGGAATCCAATGTATTGCTCCAGAAAAGTGCACATTCGAGATGTCGAAGAGCAGAACCGAATAAAACTGGAGAATATTTTCGTAAAAAAGTGTTTAATATTCACTTAAAGCACACGGTGTGCTATTGACATAGGATCTGTCGATTCGAAATCATTAGTGAATTTCACGGTCATTGAATAACGAGTTTTTCCCTCTCTCTCTCTCTCTCTCTCGCTTCAAGTGCATACTTAATGTTTATTGCTCGAGCAATTCAAACATTGTCATTCACTGCAGCAGCAGCAGCAGCATCAGCAGTGAAGTCCTCCCATTGTCATGGCGTGTATCTATCGATTTTTTTTTAAATAAATGGTTGGTATAAGCAGTTTATCGAGCACACAAACAACGATAACGACAACAAAAAAAGAAATTGAATGTCAAAGTGAGCTTCGATGGGGTCGTGAGTGAGATGTGCTTAATGAAAACTTGTTAAATTAGAATGCAAAACACATCGAATGGATTTTCATTTACATCTGACACACCATAACTTTTACCGAGTTTTCCCTCGCTGGATGCGTGGAACATTGCCTCCGTAGTCAACACCGCCGCCGCCGCTGCCATTGCCGCTCCTGTTGCTGCCACTTTTTCAGCCTTTGCACGATGCTTTGCTAAATTAGAGTTCATTTGATCACAAATGCAAATGCAAAAGGCATTGGGCGTAAAACTTTTTTAATACGTTGGTAGGGAGCGCAAAGACTTCGATGTCACCGATGTTTGTGTTTGGTTGCCATTGGTGATGAGAGCTCTTATTGAAATGACGGCGCCGCTGTCGCTGCTGCTGCTGCTGCTGTTGAGAGTTTGTGTTTTGCATTCTTTTTCCAAGTAATTGCCAACTTTGAAGTGTGCGAGAACGGAAAGAAGCGACAGAAAAAGTAAGCGAAAACGAATCATCGTGGGCTGTTAGTTGCTATCGCGTGAAAAAGTTTCTTCTTTGCCACATTTTTTTCTCGCTTCCTTTCGGAATCTTCGACTTCAAACAGATTAAAATTCTTCGGTGTCGTTTTTGTGCCGAGAGAATGGTTTGCGCACAACCGCCACCACCGTATTACTAGGAAATTTCAAGACATTCAAAATGTAATTAAAAATGCAAATGTTTTCTGCGTCGAAATCAATCAATTGGGTTGCTTTGGCCATAAATTCGAATTTAATCTACCGACCCCGTCGTCGTCGCCGTCTTCAGCTGTGCTACGCCAGACCAAATGCATGGTTCACGCATGGCTGAACACAGAAGATTCCGTCCAGACAGAATGAGAGGGCAAAATAATATGCCATTAGACATTTGGTGACACAAAAGAAAAAATACTAAGGTGAGACATCGGATTTTCAGCGCACAGTTACCACAACCAAATCGAGCATGCTCCTGTCTCTTCGCATTGATTTGCCATGTGTTTAGTAATCCATGTACGAAAACATTTACGTTTCTTGCATCGACCTCACGGATGGCATTCAAGTAATTTTAAATTAATTTCGATGGCTCTCTGTGGCTGTGGCATCGAGTTAATGACATCCATTGCTCCGGAATGTAATTTAATCTGCCGTGTAGCATTTGTAAACAATGGACGAATTGCAACACGCATGAAAAAAAGAATGATCTGCGCAAACAAACAAAAAAAAGCAACCAAAATGTGAAAACCAATTAATAGTAATATCAAGGTTCGAGAGGAGACAGTGTATTTTGAAACGAATAAAATGTACACTCATCTACAACATCATAACATAATTGTCTGGAACAGTTTTTTTTCTCTCTGGTCGGTAACACTCGAATGCATTTGTGTGAGTTTTTCAAAGTCACTTCCATCGATTGAAAGTACAACTCGGCCATAGATCGCACAACAGATACTATCTCAACAGTTAGTTACATCGAAGTCCAAAGATAATTTAAAATTTCATCTAAGCGCATTTACCCCCTCCCCCCCTCTATCTCTACAACAGTTTCCACTTGACTGATTACGACAAAGCAAACTCGAAAAAAATTAATCTAAAAATACAGATCTTCACTAGACAAAGCGGAGGAGAAAAAGCGCTTTCGTTCGTGCACTCGACACAACAAATGACTTCGGCTTACGCTTTTCGTCGAATATTTGTGGATGATGGATTTTGTGGCTAAAAATGTACGTTAAGATGCTGGAACAATGTTTATTTTTGGCATTCTCCGTGATTGTTTCAAAGTAAAAAAAATTCAAGCCGAAATGAACACAATAAATGTACAGTCATAAAATGTTTTTTTTTTCTGTTCAGATTTTGAATTGAAAAAAAAAAGTTGAGCAAAACTCGGTGAGTTTAACTCACAATATACAGCAAGAAGATTTATTTGTTGTTAAACAAGAATACTGAATACGTTTGGATTCTTTCGTTGAAAATGTTGCAAATTTAGCACAACAGCTCATTTGCATGGTTTGGAGTTTGTAACTTCCATTTTCCGTTAAAATAACCTGCAGCACTGGCTGGCATTTGTGTAGTGCATATTCCCAAAACCTTCACGAGCCATAAATTAAAAGAACTAAAAGTTTGTTGAACTAACTTCTTAATTATGACGATTTATCTTTACATTTATATGCCAGTTTTTTTTGGGCCATAAATATTATGGGCATCGTGATTATCTGTGAGTTATTCAATGAATGGGCAGTTGATAGTATCAACTTGATACATCGTTGAATAATTTTAAACGGATAAAACCAAACATGTATACGCATAGACCTGTGCGCTGAAGCGATAACAAGGTCCGACCGATTCCAAGAAAACAATTAGAGGCCAAACACTTACTCACGCGTGAACTTCTATGATAACGAATTAAAAACAATGCAAAAAAATAAATACCTCTCGAAAAACCAAACACAGTTATAGAATAATATATTTTCGTAATCTGATTCGTGTAAGGGGCTGACAAGGGCCTTCCATTCTCATTGTCTTCATTTAATTGAAAAGAGGAGTTAATGGAACACATTTTTAGCAAATTATTATCATTTCAGTGAAATGACCAAACTTTTGTTGAAAACTCGAGCTGAAAATGTTTGACCGAATTTAATTTATCGAGTCGAAAATGGTAAACATGTCCAGAGCAAGCACGAAAAATATTTTGTTGACATTTTTTTCTCTTGAGAAATGCTCATTTCGCATTGTTCATTTTTTTTTCTTCGCTGACGGATAAAAATAACAACTGAAGAAAACTGAAGCCTATGTTTTTGTGTGCGTCAACCCGGAAAAAGGGTCAGTAATTAACAAATTTGTTTAATGAAAAACATCAGCGAGACGTCAAGACACTCTCAAGAGTTTAAAGTGAAAGAAAACAAAGAGAGCGACAGAAACAACTGGTGTAATAATATGCTGTTAGAGTGATAACGGACGCGAATTTTTTTCTCTTCTTCTTCTTCTTCTGCTGCTGTTTCGGGTCGGAGTAAACTGTCTGGATAATTAATTTGTTTTGGGTATTTAAATGCATTAACTCTGTTAACGGTATTTCATTACGACACGCGACGAACAGAGTGAGAGTGTGTCTAGGATTGGATTGGATTGGAATGGCTGACATGGTCTCTGGCAAAGCTACAATCGTCAATTTCGTTCCGAAAGCGATAGTCGTAAAAAAGTACAATGTAATCGGGTGAGTCATCGACGGCGACGACGGCGACGGCGGTAACGACAGCGGTTGCAGTTTCATTATGGCGTAATGCATTTATTTTAAGCAAAACATTTTTCGCTTCATTGCAACAATGTATTACAAAAATCGAAAATTGAGCAGCAGACATTGAAATTGGAAATAAAAGCAGCCAATCGACCGAATATTGCAAGCTATATGCGATTGTGAGATTGAAGAGAGCAACGGAAAAGAAATTGGAATGGATGAGTAAAAGCCAATTAATGAGGCAAAACCGATTACATTTTCTAGGTTATGCATTTAATTTGCCGTTGCCTATTTTTTTGTGTCTGGGCTTGGATTTGCAAAGACTGTTGTTCGTAGCAACAGAAAAAAAAACGCGAAGAAAAATTGTAAAACGGTACAATTTTTTTTTCAATTGTCTAAAACGCCGAAAAAATAGCAGCCCAATCGAAACCAGCTCAGTAAAGAAATGTAAACGTTTCATAAAAGTAACCGTTGTGTGTGCCTGAGCACATAAGCTACCCGCAAAAAAAGCGTGCGTGCGAATCGATCATTGAACATGTTTTACAATAGCGAGAGCGAACAAAGAAAAAGAGAGAGACAGAGAGAGAGACAGACATACCGAAATAGTTTTAAATAGTAAAATGCGCGAATGTAATGCGGTAATCCGAAAATAGTAATATAATTAGTCATTAAATCGTCGTCGTGGGTATGTTCGTTCCAGTTATTGTACATATGGTTGCAACAAATGAATTCGATTTTTTGATTGACCTGAAATAGCATGTCGAAATGTGCCAGAGCAAAAAAAACGGTGCAAAAAACAGCGACGGTTCAAAAACTAGAGAGAGATACGAACAAGCGAGTTACTTGAAGCAGCGAGCGAATACGTGTAGCGACAGGTGAGTGAGTCTGTGGAGCGGGGCTGACTCACAACTGAGATGCATGTAGCAAAGAAATGAACCGTTCACTTTGGACATATACACAAATGATCAGCGCCAAGCCAGAATAAACACACATACACACAAGCGTCGCGAACAATTTTTGACTGGGGGCCAGATGATCTGATCACGCGAGCGCCCAGACATATATAGTTTTGCGATTTTGTTGAGCCGACATCAGTCTTTCGGTGGTGCTCAGAACAAGTTCGTCGCTTCGTTATTTTGTGCTCACAATTTCAGTTTAGTTGTTGATTTAAATCAATTAGAATTCGGAGTGAATTGTGTTTTTATTGCCACCAAAGATCTCAATTTTTGTGCGTGTGAATCTGCTGCAACCACACATTGGACGATTGTTAAGACGCGACCGACTTTAGTGCAACGTTACCAAATTCTGTCAATTTATTTCATTTCTGAGTTTACCAAAACAAAACTAATCAAAGGTGAGAGAGTTCAACCGAATTGAAACAGATTTTATTTTTCGACTAGAAAACATCCAGACACTTCCACTGGAAGTGTCAATTCAACGAAATGGAATGGAATGAAATCATAATCAAATTCATCCTTTTGTCATCATCATCATCTTTGACGTTACGTCGAGATATTTTTGGACAAACAACAAGTGTCCGACATAATTGTATCATATTCACATAAATTTATTCGTGCCTTTCAACTCACACACTCCATAAAAATGGAATTTTTGTCGCATTTCGAAAAACAAAAAACAAGACTTTGACGCAATTTCACCTGTTGTTTACGTATTTTGCACCACATTACGAGTCTAACATAACATCTTCATAGTCATTTCAGTGTCTTGAGGACGTGTTAAGGTTGTTTTCGCTATTTAAAAATCATAGAAAAAAGGCGCAATTTATTGCTTCATCAAACAATTTTTTAGTCAAAAAATTACAAATACAATTGAGTAATAACCATAATTACTAGACAAATCTTGTGTGTGCTTGTTGTTAGCACATTCTCGGTTTGAAATCATATGAAAACAACGCGTGATAAAAGCATCTCACACATATTGGTGCTTAGTTTATTGATGGGATCGTCAAAAACTAGTTATGGAAATACGAGATAGCATTCGACCGATTCAACGTTACGATATAACGACATGGCAATTCCATATTGTTACTATCATTCATTGCTTAGACTGTTGCCAAGATATCTGTGGCCATCTTCAACCAAACGAAACCAAAGTAAAGAAGAAAGAAGCTATTAAGTAGAAAAAAGTGAAAAAGGTTTTTTATATCAAAAAGATTTCCGTTTTCAGTTGATTGACCGTTCGAATTTAACCGTGATCTCAAAATTATCGAAATTCTTCTAATCAAAAAGTGTTTAAGCAACGATTGCATGACGAAACTGTGATTTGAATGTACATGGTTTTTGTATCGTGCAACATACAATGTAATTCAAAAACCACTACACGTCATTGAACTCTTCTCAGTGTGTGTCTATCTGATAACAATGTGTCGCGATGGCACGTGAAAATCATATGCAAATCACCGAATTCACAGTAGATGAATGGTCCACTAATAATTTATTCAATCGATTTCTAGTTCGATTCAACACTCGATCAAACACGCATGACCTTAACCGTTGTCGCATTTTCGACAGCGAGTCAATTTCATTGTGTGACAATGTTCCCTTCAGTTTGAATTACACAGAGACAAAGTGAGAAGGAATGGATGGGGTTCGGTTAAAAATGTGATCAATTTCAATAACCATTTCAATTATTTGATTGATTAAGCATCAAACGATACCTGTGAACTGAATGTATCCTTTCACCCGTTACACCAGTGAATTAATTCATGCGACAATCCATACATGATTTATTCCATTCCAAAATTAAATTCGCAACTCGCATCGCCTGATGCCGCATGATGTGGCTGCCCATTGAAAATAAATCATTTGTCGTTTGAATATTTAATTCCAAATTAATGATGGGCAAACGCACTGGAATTGATTTATGGTCCAGCCAAGCCAAGCCAAGCTAATTCACATTCGATATTGCGGGCTACAACCTTTTTGTGGAGTTCAACCAATCTGCTATGCCACCGATAAAGTCGCCGAAAGCAACGAATGTTTTTATTTTTGTTGCTCTCTTGTTCATTGTTTCGGATAAATTTCCAGCGTTGTCTCTATTTTGATATTTCGCGTATTTGCCAGTTCTCAATATGCAATGCTCAATATATGGCTCGAAACAAATAAGCTTCGGAATGAACGCACATGAACCGATGATGTTGCCGTTGAGGCAGTTAAACCCGTTTTATATATATATACGATTACAAAAGTCTCGGACATTTTTTTCCACGTCTCTTTCTCTCTGCGTGTTTTTTGTGTGTGGATAAAGTTTTATCGGGTTTTTGTTCGCTTCATCGTTGCCATATCCACATTTAATGGTTTCGGAACCACAAAGGGGATATTTTATGGATGAACATTGAACAGAGTTAAAAGTGCTACAACAGTTTTTTTTCCCCGTCTCGTCTGTTGTGTGTGCGTTGTTCGGAATTCCCTTTCGCGATTGCACATGCATTTTATGAGACAGCGCGTAAATTTAGCATCAAAGCATTTCAAAAATCTCGAGAGAGCAATGGAAAAAAAGCCTCATGATCTAACCACAACACCGCACGTATTCTAAAAACTTGCTCGACATTCCGATTATGGAATTACCAAAGTATAAAAGTCGGAACTGAATTTTTCGGAAAGTAAAGTGTTGTAGATGTTTTTGATGCTGAAATGCAAAATGTCATAAATGCTATACAGTTTTTTAATTAATTTCGATTTTGTGGAACACACTTGCACGAAGAAGTGGTTGTCAGTTATTCGTATTGGAAAATTTTCTGCCGTTCTCCGAGTGGTTTTCTGTTACGCTTCGGCTGATAATTCGTTAACATAATTCATTAGATCGGTGTTGATTATTTTTGCAATGGCGCAACTTTGTAACAGTTTTACATTGAAAATTTGCTCATAGTTCGGCGAAAAGAATCTTTCTCTTTCGTTCCATGCAATTAAAAAACCTCAGCATAGCAGCAAAACGTTGACGACAAAAATTGATGTGTATGTGTTGCATGGAATTTTCCAACAAATCACTCTGAACGGATATGGACAAATTATTGTTTGAGTTATGCTCAACGAGCAAGAGAAACACGAGTCAAACAATATTGATGTGCAGCTTCAACACAATTTCCGCTTGCACAAGTTAGGTGATGTTTATTAAAAGCAGAAACTAATTTTACAAAATCATTACAAATGAGATTATGATTAAAAGCATGTTCCTTTAGTCAAACGAAGAACGTATACACGCACACAATGTCGCTCACTCTATCTCCAGTCTCCACAGATAACGATATTATACGATGACATTCACTCATCTATTTGATGGTAAAACAGCATTCAGTGGAAGCGGATGTTCCACAAATTGCAATATGATGCTTCAAATCTGGGTCGGATGATGTAACAGAGATGAAAAGCGTAAATTCAGGTCGTTCTGCAGTTGAAAATTTAATTAAATGCAAATACAGTATGGGTTTTTTTCCTGGAAATGTGTGGCATGTTATATTCATGAAAACTAAATTCATATTTTTCTGATGCAAAAGTTATAGTTTTTAATTATTATTTACTGATGTGCGACAGAAATAGAGAAAAAAAACTTGACCCAACCGATTCAATCCAATCAAAAAGTTTCACTTGTTGGCCGTGGTGAAATGAATTGCGCTGCTGAGAGAGACTATATCCATGTAAACAAAATGGTTTTCTATCGACTTTTCCGGAATCCAAAAATATTTCCCAGTGAAACATTAATGTTAACAAAATTATGAGTCGGGCTCAATCATGGCTCAAGTTGATGAAGTTACATGCATTGATTGCAACCATTTTCACCAAATTGGTTTCAAATGGAAAATTTCAACTCTCTCGACCAAAATGGTATCGAAAACCTAGTTATCAAACCCATGAGGTCAATGTATGGAACATCTCTCAACATTTTTGTGTCGAAATTCGTTAGGATTTTTCTAGACGAAAAATTCAGTTCGCAATCCGACAAAACGACGGAAAAATCGATACGGTATCCATAGCAAATGCGAAAAACCCGACTAATTAGGCTAAATGTTATCGTCTGCCCAAGAAAAACCACAAAACAGACACACACATGCACACACACACACATACACACCCGCTGCAATTTAGTTCATGAAACAAAGTTGCTGCACTCCAAATAGCATTTTGTGGTTTTTAAAACACATCGTGCTCATAATATCGACCTACGTCTGTCCGGATGCAAGTGCACTCTGTGCTCTGATGTCAGAGAGTGGACAGTTTGACTGCGACGAACCGTGTAACCGTATCAGCTTGTACTGTAATTTAAGTTTGACCAGTTCCAGCCATTTTCGGGTTTTTCAATGCACAAAAACCTTCAGTGGTTTTTTTTTCTCTCGAACAATTACATAATGGTGCACTGGAACCAAATGCTATCCAACTCGTTAATATCGACGTTCACCAGCTATAATTTTAGATGCTGTGTACATTCGAAGCACACATTCGCATTGAATTTGCACCAAAGTTGTGTTGATGACACACAAACTTCCGTTTTTTGCTTTTTCGGTGTTGTTTTTCTGAAATTGACTACAAATACAGCGAATTTTTATTTATCTTTGCCCGTTTGGTTTCAAGCAAAAAGAAAACCATAGATTCGTTGCAACGAACGTTGGTTGCATTTTTCAAATGATTTAAATGGGGTCATTACTTTTCGGGAATTTTTCACACAAAAATACCTTTATGCGCGCGCTGATACGTCGAGCTGGAGGCGAAATCATATCAATAGCACATGCCCGCATATTTTCCAAATATCGAAATTTTAATTAAATTCTTTCTTGCCATCGGAAAAATGTTCAGCGAAAAGCTGTGCTGTGGTTGCGCTTTTTCGCAACGAGTGGCATTGCATCATCGCTTATCAATCGCACATTGGGCCGACCTGACTTTGATTTATAATCCAAAAATGCTGCTAATCAAAGCGCAGCACGGTCAATATTGAAATATTTACGCCGACAGCTACCGCTTACACAATCGAACATTTCCATTCGATTACATTGTGCATTGGGAGCTAGAGTATCTATTCAAAAATCCTGCCGAAATTCAGACCAAAAACCAAATACAACGTCATTTGTAATTGCATTCAACTAAATTCGTTTTTATCTAATGAATGCCCCATTCGGATATATGCCATATTCAAATGGCATGCATAAATAATCAAATTGCTTGACCATTTAACAGCGTCAACATCAGTTTAAAAGATAAGTGCGGCGGCGTGCAATTGAACGAATTGTCCACACGAATACATATTTGCCGAAGAAATAAATGTTAATTGGCCGAAAACAAGCGCACAAATGTGCGAAAATGATACATGCATTCGTTTGTTGTGAATAGCACCATCCGAACATGA